ATGGGGCGTGGGGCAAATCACTGTCTTGTTTTCCTCCTTACCAGAATTATTCTAGGTGATGTATGTAAAGCGCCTAGTACACTGCCTGCTGAATAGAGCATTCTGAATAAATGATAGCTGTGTATTTTACCTGTTTTGTAAGATGAATAAAATATATATGAAGGTGAATAATTACGTATACTTCAGGAGTAGATAGAAGTATAGGTGTAAGTATTCTTCAAAACTAGGGCCTATCTTCAATATCATTTTTCCCCAAATATATAAAACTCTGCTTCACAAATTTTTAAATGCACTTCCACTAATATCGTGTCTTTGTTTATCTTAAGGGACATATTTGGAGAAGACTGTGTAAGTGTAAAAGATGGTTCTGTTCTTAGTGTCACAGTGGATGGAAAAACTGCTAATGTGAACTTGGAGACGCGGGTATGTAGCTATTCCTATGTTTCAAGACATTTAGGAAATAAGGTAAAGGCAAAAATAATCTCTGATCCCACACCTAACAAATTGTTTTTGCATTTTGGCATTCCTTCCAGTTTTTTCCTACTAGTTTTTTACAGATTGTGTTTATATTATTATATGTGAAGTTTTACATTCTTGTTTTTTATTTCCCATTCTGTCGTAGTGTTTTTCCATGTTGCTGCATAGTACGCATTTCCTGGGTACATATCACTCCATTGTTTTCTTTTTACATAATACACCTTAATCCACCACAGTGTTTCTCTAATTTGGCATCCAGTTGGTTCCAGATTTTTCAGAGAAGCTGCTCTTCTGTTTATACCAGCAAGATCCAAGTGGCTTTTCCAGACAATAGGATTCACGAGTCTGGGGCCAGCTCTGCACTCATACCAGTAAAACCTGTATAATTATTTCACAAGCATGAATCAATAAGTATATTTCCTTGCAGAGTTGTTGTGAAGATTAGAACAGTTATACTAGACAAATAACATGTTTTAGATTTCTTTTGTATGTTCCTTGACTATTTAGGTGCTTTGAGAAAACACTAGATTTATTTTACTTCAATAGAAAAATAAGAACATAAGCAAGTAATTCACTAGAGAAGAAACATAGATAGCTAATAAACATATGAACCAAATGTTCAGATCCACTAATAATTAGAAGAAATACAAGTGTAAAGTATGAAATATCACTGCTTGCTTATCATATTGGCACAAATTAAAAAGAGATTGCTCTGACCCATTGATGGCAAGACAACCAGGAAATAAATTATTCTCAGGTGCTGTTTGGGGTACGGGAGGAGGTTGTAAATTAGGTGGTACATCCTTTCTGCAAGGCAGCTTGGAGATTGTCATCAAAAGCCTTAAAATGTAAATACCTTTCTCCACCATCCCACTTATAATATTAAAGTAATTAGATAAGAGAGCAAAGATATATATACAAGGATGTCTATTTTAGCATTGATTATAACATGAACAAAATTGCAAGAGCCCTAAGTATCCTAGAGTAGGAGATAATAAATAGAACAAATGAATACATAATGTGTATGGTGTATCCTCATACATTAGAATACTATAAATACAGCCATCAAGGATGATGATGTAGCTTGATTAACATGCAATGTTGTCCACCTACACTATTTAGTAGAAAAAAAGTTACACAACAGCAAGTGTGATAAATTATCCCATTTTTGTTTTAAAGAAATATATGTGTATAGCCATATAAGGTTAGAAGGTTATACACTAAAATGTTAATAGTAGTTATTACATCATAGAATTAAGGGTGCTTTTCTTTCCTCAGTTTTTATATGAGGAATATTTAAAGTATGATAAAAAATATTTAAACATCCTAAAGTATTTTATAGTTGAGAAGAAACTAGAAGATAGTGAGTCTAAATCCATTTTAATACTGAATGTTGACCAGATGAGTAGGTGACCACACCCACTGCTTACCAAGTAATTTGTGGTGCACAGAATGAATTCCTTGGAGTATCATTTACTGGATCAAAATATGGGCTTTGAAGTAAATACACTTCACTAGACTTTCCATTCTTTTTTTTCCAAAACTACTCTCTAATTAGACCCAGTCATTGTGCTGTCAGGACTCGCTCCACAAGCACTGGGGTGACCACCCCGCTAGGAAATGATTGTTCGAAAGTCTTTGTTGATGGTCCATGTAATCATTGTAGATTCTTGGAGTTGAAAGGCATGTTTGTGCTTTCACTTTCAGTCGGTAGAATGTGAGGAAGGAAGTGAAGACGACGAGTCTCTCCGAGAAATGGTGGAACTGGCTGCACAGAGACTGTATGAGGCCCTCACGCCTGTCCATTAAGAACCTGATGTCTCTGTGTTATGTTGAAAACTTTTGTTTAATTCTTGACTTTACTTCTGTTACTTATAATAAAATAACTAATTTCTCTGGAGTACTTTCGATGACAAATGGCCATTATTCGAACAGCTTGAATACTGCTAAGTTAGCAACTAATTTGTCCCATTACTTTAGAACTGCTAAATAAATTGCCTGTTATTTTAGAACTTAATTGGCTCTACTTCTAGGCATGTACTGACACCTTAAAAACCTGCTCATGGCAACTGAATCAGAGTGTCTTCTTGTACTTTTTAAGGAAAGAAAATAAATGATTTGTATTTTTATATTCATGTTCTGAATTTGAATAATTTGAGATTATCATTTAAAAGTTTTAAGCCCCTTTTCTATTTCTTCCCTCCTTATTCTCTTGCCAAGTTCCTTAATTTATACATTTGTAAAACCATGACTTTGGGGGTTCAATAATATATTCTTTCTTTAATAGCTATTCAATTCAGAGATATTCAGAATATAATTTTTATGACTCAGGTTTAAGGGTATTCAGGTGTCGGTTGTTGAAGTGTTTCGTGTGTAAAGTAATCATTAGTCCAGTTTCCTGAAGTACATGTGATTCAGACTTGGAAATAGCTGGACACCAGAGCGGCTGGTGCTGGTGCTGAGGGAGCAGACTCTGCTGGGGGCTAACTTGGCACCGACCTGGATGAAAGGCCTGATAGTTACCTCTGCCGAGGGAAAAGCATGTGCCTGAGCTAGCTTCTCCCCCTCACAGCCTAACTGAAGAGTTGCTGACACTCACTGTCAAGGTAAAGGCATCAGTTATCGCCACTGAATTCCCCCGACACTATTTAGGCCTCATCCTTGCCTCACCTCTTGGTGACTTATAACCATTGGCCACTCCTTCCCTGCGCTTTAATAACAAACTTCAACGTGTGAGCCTGACTTTTCACATGAAACGAAATACACTTATTTGTATAATATAGCCTACTTGGTCTTTGGCCCAAACCGAAGGTCTACATGTCACATAAGATTTTTTAAATTTATTATGATAGCTTTTAAAACATTTTAAAGTTACAAAAAATACACACTTGTAATATCTTAACAAGCAGAATATGTACAGGGAAGAGGGCGAGTGTCCTTTCCCTGGCCCTTCTCCCTGCAGTAACCAATTTAAGGGTTCTAAATGGCTTTTGAATCTGCCTGTCATGTTTCCCTGGGGCTCTGAGTCCGAGTCTTCCTTTTTCCTCTGGTTCCTGCCACGACCTCCCTTCTCTCCGTCCATAGGCATGCCTCAGAGATACTGCAGGTTTGGTTCCAGACCATATTAAGCAAGTATCAAAATCTTTTTGCTGGTGCAGGGTCTTGCTTTCAACTTGTAAAAAAAGTGCAACATCTGTGGAGTGCAATCAAGCGAAATGAGGTATGCCTCTGGTTGATTTCTAAAACATGCACAGCTGCCCTCAAGCCTCCCCTGCTGAAAATCCTTCAGGGCTTCTTCATTGTAATTCCAATGAAGTCCAACTGGGGAGCATTAAAAATATAGTGATGCCCACGTGTTACCATCAGAAGTTATGTTGGTTGGTCTGGAGTGAGGGTCCTTTATCAGCACGTTTTTAAAGCTCCCCACGTGATTCTAGTTGAAGCCAGGGAACTAGTGGCCCAAAGATTTGGTCACGCTCTGCATCTCCCTGCCTCCACGTCCAGCTCCAGCCTGTCTCACACCAGACGCCCCACACCCAGGTCACAGGAAAGGTATGTCAGCTTTTCTGTCATGCACTGCTCCCCTGGCCCTACAGGTTTTCACCTTAAACTTAACATGTTTCAAGACAGACTTCTGACTCGTTCTCATCATGGCCATCACACTTCATTGCATGGTTGAGATGACAAGGACTCCCCTTTGAGCAAACTTGAGTTGCCGCCTCTGAAAGTTCTCTGAGGCGGCCCCCACCTTAAGCTCTGTCCTTGCTCCCATAGTCCAGTTTCAGCAAGAATCCTGTTAGGTCAAGGTAGCCAAGAATTTCCCTATCAGTAATTTTACATCCACCTGTCCCCTCACCCTGCTCCTTGGCTCTAAATCCCCACTTTTTGTTGTATTCAGAATTGAGCCTAATCAGCCTCCTCTACCGCAAAACCACCACGGCAGTCGTCCTTGAGTAGTCCGCTGTACTGTCTTTAGCGGGGGTCATGAATGTATTTCTTTGAGGTCAAACCTTCAATAAATAGTTCAGTTTTTAACAAGAGGTGGTCCAGTGATGAATGAATCCCTTGGAAGTACTTCCTAACGTTTCTTCTCACTATTGCCATTTGCTGAATATTTGCACCAGCCTGCGAGTGGCGAGTGATGCTGCTTCTGGTGACACCACCAAACCACTCTCGTTTCGGGGATGGTTTCCACCTGGGGAACTGAACAGCGACAGTGGCCAGAGGGCAGTTCAGGCCGACCTCAGGCCTATCCTCCTCCCTCCGGGGGTCAGTGGGCTCCCGGAGGGCCAGGTCGCTGCCGCACTTAACGACTCGGTATGAGTGAATGCAGGAGGCCGAGCTTTCGTAAACGGGCCAAATTGAGCTTTCCAAGACCCAACAGCCATTGCATGTCTTAAAGATGGCCCGTGGCTGACAAAGAAGCCCTGCTCAAGGAGCCCCGGGAGGCGGGGACCGCGGGACAGGCGATAAGGCAAAAAAGACATCAGACTGCGCAGGCGCCGCTCGCCCCGCCCCCGCTCGCCCCGCCGGGCGGATATCCGGCCTGCTCCGCTTCACAGCCGTCGGGGCAATGGCGCTGTGCGAGGTGGGCTGCGGGAGCGCTCTGGTGTGGCCTCGGGTGTTGCTCTTCGGAGACTCCATCACCCAGGTACCGCTGCTCGGACCCGTCCTGTCCGCAGAACCTGGCTCGGCCCTCACAAGGCCGGGTCTCAGGCGTCCTCGGCGACGCCCCCCCCCACACGCCCCTTCCCGAGGGTCGCGGGCCTGGCCTCGCTGACTCCCGGCTCCTCTCCTCACGCGGCCCCCGTTTCTCCCTTCTGTCACAAGGTTGTCGAGGCCGTCTTCCCCCAGCACCTGAGGCGGGGTCACTTCGGTAATGCCTGCCGCCTCCTGCAGCGACCTCAAAAGAGCGTCGTGTGCCCAGCGCCCCCCGAGCCCCTCCCTCTGTAACACCCTCGCAGCGGTTCCCGTTTCTAGTTGTTCGTAGCTTCGAGATAACCGTACGCGACCTGCCGCCCTCGCACAGGCTTTAGTCTTAGGCCCGTTTCACAGGTGCGACAAGCGGGGAGAAGTGAAGTCCAGGTCACGCCCTGGGAGTGACACAGCCTGAGGGCGCTGCTCTGCTCTAAGTCATTTTTCCTGGGGATTTTAGGAAGCCCTGGTAGGCGTGGAGGCGCATTGTTTTGTTGTTAGTATCTTCCTGGGCCCGGCCAGTTGTGTTGCGCCGGGCGTGCTTTAGTGCGTTGTACTCCCCGGAGGGCCGCCTGCACGGACCACGCTGGCTGGCGGCGAGTCACTTCCAGCGGCTCTGCACTGCCGCTTCGTGCAGAAAACATTGCAGCCAGTTCTCCGTGCTTCCTCGGGTGGAACAGGTTGGTCTGGAATAAAATGCCTCCAGGAATGAACTAGATCATCCTTTCACCCAAGAGCATGTCAACTCAAGGAAAAATGTTGGGAAATACATTTTCTTCAGGGAGGGAGCACGTTTTAAAAATGACTTTCCCGTGGCCCTAAACCGATTTTCTGTGTTTACGGCAATAGTTGGCAACACTCTTTTTAGGCATCTGGGCAGTGAGGGCTTTGCAAATTCCATAGGAATGTGTATCAAAGAACGTCCCCGGAGTTCTGTCATTTTCTTAGTCTTTCAGCTGTGGAAAGGGAGCCCAGCACGGCCTTCGTCTCCTAACTGAGTATACAGTTGATTTTATCTCTCACAGTTTTTTTTCCCCCACCCCCAGATTTGTTAAAGTCACTTTTCTGGATAACAGCGACCCGAATATTAGGTTTCAATAAAATGGAGACAACTGACTCAAATCCAATTGATAGAGAAAATTGCTTCTGCTTTCCAGAGGTGCTGAGGTGTGGCGACAGTAAGCCCTAAAGCGACCCCCTCAGAGCAGAGCAAGGGATGAAGGCCAAGAAGTCAGGAAGAGAACAGAAGGGGAGTTGCCGACCGAAACTGTCCCTCACTAACATGTCCTAGTTACACCAAGGAGTAATGGGGTTTTCTTTCTTCAGTTTTCCTTCCAGCAGGGTGGATGGGGAGCATCACTGGCTGACAAGCTGGTCAGGTGAGAATAGTTTCTAGATTGATACTTGAGTGTTTATTGATGGAAAATATAATTGCCTGTCAGGAGAAAAGAGTGAATGGTACAGTTTCAAACAGTAAGCTATGGGGTTGGGAGAGGAGGAGGGGTAGGCCACAGGGTTCAGTAAAAAGGACTTTGCCACCATGTGAAATCAACCCCTAAGTTATGAAAAACATTAGGGGGTTGGATCCAAAGAAAAAGACGACTTTTCACCATCTAAAGAAGACAAGTTCTTATTCATTCATTATGGTGGGTATGGCTTAAACCAGCGGTTCTCAGCCTTCCTAATGCCGCGACCCCTTAATCCAGTTCCTCATGTTGTGGTGACCCCCAACCATAAAATTATTTTCGTTGCTACTCTATAACTGTAATTTTGCTACTGTTATGAATCGTCATGTAAATATCTTTTTGTTTCCCGATGGTCTTAGGCGACCCCTGTGAAAGGGTTGTTCAACCCCCAAAGGGGTCGCAACCCACAGGTTGAGAACCGCTGGCTTAAATGATTAGCGAGGAGTTAAAAGAATATAGTCTTAGCCCAAAGTTGGATTCATTTTGGATAGAGTTTCTCCCCACACCAATTTTGTTTATAAAATATATCAGAAATAGTGATGATTTTGGTATTTTATTTGCCAAACTTAAATGTATGCTAAGAAAGTCATTAAAAGGGAAACAGTGTTCTAATTGAAAAGGTTAAAAAATAGAAACATTTTCCTCATTAAAAACAGGAGACACAAGTATTTGTGTTAGGGTATCAGTAAACTGGTCAGCAGAAGTTTTCTGTTCCTCTAGAAATAAAAAGCTGGGTGTACTACCAATTTATCATTACCTGATAATTTTTTTTATCAGTGTTGGCACACCAAGAAAATACATTTTATTTCTAAATGTAAAATGTGTTTTTAAATGGCTTCACTTTCTCTTTCATTTTTATCCCCTAAACTAGAAATGAACATTTGACCTTCCAGCCTTTTCTATTCCCAAATGCTTTCACTGTTTAAGTGGACTTAATCTAAAAACATGAAAGTATCATTTCGTTCCTAGTTTTCTCTTCTGTAAAATGGGGGGCGGGGGGCGCAGGGAGGGGAGTTGTAACAGCTTTTATTTAATGTTCACCAAGTGCCAGAGATTGTTTTAAATGCTTCATGTGTATTGTCTCATCCTTCTACCCATTTTAAATCTGAGAAAAGTAAGGTGGAGTGAGGTTAAATAACAAGGTCACACTAAGAAGTAGCAGGTGGCTTGGCTCCAGAGCTCGTGCTTTGAGCCTCCGGTGATAACAAGGGTGCCCGCTTTCCTGCTGGGAGAGTGCATAAGGTCCTGTGTGCTTGGTCAAGTGCCTGGAACATAGCAAGTGTTTTATTTTAGTAATCTAATAACTGTTGAATTAGTCCATTAACCTTTTCTGAGCAGATAGAAGACATTGAAAAACTAATTATTCAAATAGCCTGAAAGACTCCAGGCATTTCATATTCACCAACATGTAAATGTTTCATAAATATTAATAGTTAAATTTAGCATGAGAATTTTGTCAGAATTGATAGTTTACAGGTGTGAGTGCTAGAAGACCACTTAATTAGAAGCTATTTTTCAGAATCAAAGAGTAATTACAAAAAAAGACAAAGTTGGAAACATGTATGGTCTGTTGTGCCTTATTATGTAACTTCTTAAAAGCCTCATGCTGAGGTACAAAGCACAAAACTGAGTGGCTGCTGGCTGACCCCCACAAAGAGGCCTGACCTGGGTGAATTCTCCCCCATTCAGGCTCCACCCACAAAGTGCCTCCCTCTGTCCTGGGTGCACACACCTCAGCCAAGCTCACAGGAGCCTATTATAAACTAACACTACAATGGACCAAACGATAGGAGCTAGGCAGAGTGGATCCTCACACAGGTGTAAGGACCCGTTTCTTCCAACAGGCAGGTCACTGGGAGAAACTAGGAGGCTGTATGGGGCGCAGAGGGCTACATTATAGGGACGCTGGAGGGGTGACTGGCGTCAGATGCATCATCTGCTTTCACTACCAAGGGACCAAACAATTCTAAGTGCACCCTCCTTTTTATGTGCTGGACTGACACTTTCTCTTCCACACTGGCCAACTGCCCTTGTGATGAGCACATTCAGTCTGCAGCCATGTTAATACTCGGGGTGAATGTTTTGTAGACATAGGCCCCTAATGTCTGTTTCAGCCATCTGCACAGCCCTCAGCTGACTTAGTTTTCATTTAACCTAATTTCCAAGTCTGAAAGTTGAGACACTACTGTAACTGCCCTCCTGTACTGCCTGCCTAGCTAGTGATACATTTAAAATATATAATTGAGTGTACCCATAGTGACATCTTTGTTTTATATTTAAATAAGATATATGCTCATTACAAAAAGCATTTAACAATTCTTAAATCCATTTAAACCTTCTAAAATTTATTGATATTTTCATAAAAATTTTTAGCCTTATCAAAGTATTTCTTTAACAAAAAAATTACTCACATTTTTCAGCTTTTAAAAGCTTCCGCTATGTGCTATTTGCTTTTAAAAAGGTCCCTTTGCCTGTTGTCATTTATAAAACACCTAATTTCTATTTTTTCTGGAAGGCAATCTTTCAGAGCCTAGATGTTTGAAAGAAATCAATTCCATCCTTTTCCTGTCTTCCCCTGAACTTGAATACCTGTTATTAGGCATGAATTTATGTAAAAGCCTTTAGTAATTTTTCCATTTCTCCAGTGCGTTTAATAACTTAGGCACTGCCGATTGTTACTCAGTCCAGAGAAATTCAGGTATTCTCCCCCTTTCAGAGGGAAAGTTTCAGTTTCAACCCTGAGCCTCACTAGCGCTTTTTCCTGGTTCACAGCCTTTGTAAGGATGATTTTTTTCAAAAAATCTGTAATGGCTGCCATTTGTTGAGTTCCTTCTATTTCTTTTAATCTTCACACAACCTGGTGGATTAGGCTTGAGTATTTGTCTTTTACAGTTGGGGACAGTGAGGCTCAGAGAAATTAAGTAAATGGCCATGGCCTCATTGCTGGTCCAGGGCCGAGATCCCAGCATGAGCTGCTCTGATACTAGAACTTGAGCTTTGCTGTGGGCACCACACCAGCCCCAGGGAGGCGGGCCTGAAGGAGGACACTGTTGCGCCTTTAGTTTTGTAAGTGCTGCACTAACCCATTGGATGGGTGTAAGGGAGGACTCACCTTGTCAAAACTTTCAAGTATTCTATTTGTGAGTGTTTTAAGTGGAGTTTTTTAAATGGCTAGACAGCTTTTTGTAATCATACATAAAAACACTAAATCTGGCTGAATTTTTTTGCTGTTCTCAGGATTTATAAATGCTGAGCGCTTTCCGAGTAGCATCAGAACCAAGTCGGTCCCGCTGCCCTCTGGTGTCTGTCGCCTGGCCTGTAGCCTGCAGCTACTCTGTGGTGCCCTAGCTTCTCGGCTTAGTTGGTCATATGTAGGAATTTGAACCATACACCAAAATTAACCACATCGTTTGCTAATCATATACTGAACTCCCGAGATTCATTTTTAAAATACCTTTTTATTGTGGACAATTTTAAACATCTACAAACGTACCAGTGGTCACAGGTATCTAATTGATGGAGCTGGGATTCACACCCAGGCAACCAGCTCAAGATCCATGGTTGGTTTTTTCATTATACCACACAGGGGCCTGTGAACCAAATAGTATATTTTTAAGAAAGAAATAAATACCTGCTAATGAACTGGTTTAAACTGAAACAATATATTTACTAAAATTACTTAAAGTAATTGGTTGATAATGATAATGGTCAAAATAGGTTTGTCACTTGTAACACCTTCCTTTAAAATTTTTCATTTCAGAAAATGTGATGTTTTGAATCGTGGATTTTCAGGCTATAATACCAGATGGGCCAAAATTATCCTTCCAAGATTAATCAGGAAAGGGAACATTTTGGACAACCCAGTAGCAGTTACAGTTTTCTTTGGTGCCAATGACAGTGCGCTAAAAGGTAAAGGTATTTTTGTCTTTTCCTAGTTCATTTTTCAATAATTTTTATGTTAGCAAACTTAAATGTATATAATGTTTACTTATCTCCTAGTAGATAAAATTTTGCTGAATTTGTGAGTTCATTGAGTACTTTTGTGTATTTCTTCTAGTTTAACTTATTTTCTGCATGCCTGGGTGGTCAGATTTAAACTTGCAAACACTTGTTTTCTCCGGCCCTGTGCTCAGTGTCCGGTGCTTTGCTCTTTAGTTGAGGTAGGTGGCAGCAAAGGGCTCAGACTGCACACCTTGCAGTGTGAATCACACTGATGAAAAAGTAGCTCACGCCGGCAGCCCCTGGACCCAGGTCCAGACGGGAATCCTGGGTGATGGTGAGCATGTTTGGAGCAGAAAGCTCATCCCTCATGTGTTTTTTGGAAGAACTGGTCCTGCAGAGAGGACTTTGTCTTCCCCTCCTGCTCTGACAGGAGCCCTCTGCATGCTAGGAAGGAGAAAAGTCAGCCTTGATTTTGGAAAGTTGGGTAGTCAGCTTCCAGAGGTTTCTCTGGGGCCCTCACTTCTCACAGCAGTGGCATGGTCTGCTATTCAGAGGCATGCTGCGGGGCGAGACATCTCAGGGGAGGCTGGAGATGAAGAAAGACTGCCCCGTGAATGCGAGGGATTCTTGCAGACTACAAGAAAGGAAGTCATACCTTCACTTATATCTACACCAAAAGAAAGAAAACTCCAAAAAGTAGAATTTTTTTGAAAGGTGAAGTTTTATCAAACTAAGGACAGGGAAAAACACTTTCTAAACATAAAAGCAATGGAGAAAACTGCAAAGGGAAAAATAGGTTTGTGAAATAAAATAGCTTATGTAAAAAAAAAAACAAAACTAAAAATGACAGGAAAATACGAAAATATGGCAGACAGAAAGTTAATGTCTTTAATGTAGAAATCGGTAAGAAAAATATTAACTGCAATAGAAAAATGGGCAAAGACAAGAATAGGTAATCCCAAAAGGAGGAATTGAACCACCAGTACGTAACAAGGGATTTTGGTTTTTTGATTCATATAAGACGCAGTTTTAAGCAGTAATACTTACCAGCTGACAGGTATGGAGTAAGACGGACTCACAGCTTCGGTGGGCAAGCTTGTTGACTTTCTAAAAGCTTTTCGGTGTTGTGCATCAAGAAACTTCCCTCATCTAGAAATCCTTAAGGAAATAATCAGGTGTCTTAAGGAAATAATCAGGTGTATGTTCTTTATAACAGCAAAAAAAATAGAATGGTGCATAGCAAGGAATTAGAAGCTTCAACTATGTCACCCTAACTAAATCTGTTGTTTTTGAGGCCTGTTTATGGAAACAGAAATGCTTGTAATATGTGAAAAAAGCGCAATATGGTCATTTATTTTCAGTGTGATCCCAGTTTATTTTAAAGTATACATATCTCCATGGAAAAGACTGGAAAGAAGTACATCTAAGTGCCAGCAGTGGTTTTATGGGTGGTAGGATGAGTGATTTATGTTCTGTGATTACACTTGTGTGTGGTCCGCACACGGCCTGCAGTGAGCGCTGTAATGCTGGTGTGGGGGCCCTTCCAGAAACAGTGCTTTGCAGCCCCACGAGCAGTAGCCGCAGTAGCCTGTCGAGTCGCCGAGTGCTTCCTTGGTGGCAGGCACCTTGCTGCAAGCGCTTAGTATACTTAGCTGACTTACTTTCCATAGGAGCCCTATGAGGCTATCATCCAAGGGCATGTGGCTGATGAGTGACAAAGCCAGGATAGAACCTGATACTCTCACTCCACAACCTGGGCTCGTTTCTTTACCAATTCCAGCTGCCTAATAGCCCATGGCCATGACTTTCAAGGTCCGGAGCCAGAGCCTTTGAAGTCTGTTTGATGAAGTCCCTTCTCTGTTCTTGGTGTAAACAATTCCCCAGCAACATCATGAGTCATACGCATTTGTGACCGTGTGTCGTCTTAACCGTCACCTAAACCTTTGGGCTGAAGTACCGGTGTTCCTCCTTAACAGAGGAGAACCCCAAGCAGCACGTCCCCCTGGATGAGTACGTGGTGAATTTGAAGAGCATGGTGCAGTACCTGCGGTCTGTGGGCGTCCCCGAGGACAGGGTCATCCTCATCACGCCGCCCCCGCTCTGCGAGGCCGCCTGGGAAAAGGAGTGCCTCGTGCAAGGTAAACAGTCAGCACCCTCATGGGGCCTGGTGGCCAGAAGCGGGGAGGACATGGATGGGGCGGTGTTTTCCAGCCTGTGGGCCTCAGGTTCTTAGAGGTCCATAAATCCATACTGGTCTGTTTTCAATCAATTAAGGTTAAACAGAAAAAAGTACAGCCTCCACTGTGTCATAACAGAACTTTTGGCACAGAAAGGGGAGTGTCACCTTGGGTGCGTGGGTTCTTTGGCCTGGCATTTGCTGCCTTATTTTCCAAACTGCAGGGTGCTCACAGAGCCACTGAATTTCAGGGCTAACGGCTGAGTGAGCGTCTCAGAATAGCCATACACTTGGTTGTCTGCGTTGGGCTGAGGCTTCCGGAGTCTGTCCCTCTGGCCCTGACATCCACAGTTGGGGTGCCTACTCCTCCTTGCTGTGCCCATTTCCGTCTGCATGTGGCCCTTTCTCCACTCTGCCTCACCTCACCCTGTTACCCACTTTTCCCCCCAAGCAAAAGCTCCTCTGCAGACCACTGACAGGCGCACACGTGCAAGAGCACTTCCGCCTCACTTGTGACTGAGTGACGGAGTGCAGCTCTCGGACACCTTGCCTTGCCAACACCAGAGGCACATCTGTCCCCATGAACTGTTCATCCTGGCACCTTTACAGGTGCTCAGGATACAGAAATAACTAGCAGCCCTTTCTTGCCTGTTGGGCTAGTGAGGGAGACAGTCGTGTAAATAAGTATTTGCAACAGTGGGATAAATGGTGTAAGAGGGATTTATCACGGAAGGTCTGTGGCAAGGAGGGAAGCAGAACCGAGCGCTGCCCAGGATACTCCCAAAGGAGGTAAACAGGGAACATTCCCCTGGAGAAGAGAGTACAGGGCGGAGGAGGGAGGGTGACAGGCCCTGCTGTCGCCAAAGCAACGGCCCCAATGGTGTCTTCTGCTAATGTCCTGCCATCGTCGAGGATGGCTCGTCCGGTAAGTCCCGTCGCAGGACACGTTCATGCCAGGATGACTGAGGTGTGCAAGGTAGAACTGTTCGTGCATCTTAAATCGCAGGTCACAACCCTTTCGTGGCTCATGAACAAGTTGCAGCACACTTTTTTTTTTTAATTGGGTAATTGGGGGGAGGGGAACAGACAGGTAGATAAATTGCTGTTTTTGTTCTTCAGTCTAGTTGTAGAGGACGTCGCTTCACTGGCCCATGCTGATATTATCATTGTGCTCTTCTCGGGTGAGGCAATTGGTCACCGGTCATTGGTCGGCCGCTCACGGCGGCTCCCAGCAGCTCACACTGGCTGCCAGCCACTCACATAGCTCACAGCAGCCCACTGCAGCCCCACTGCAGCCTACACCATCGCCAGCCGGCGACTCACAGCAGCCCAGCAGCCTAGCTCCAGGTTGAGCTGTTGTTCAGCATCTTAGCTGTAGAGGGCAGTGTCACTGGCCCTCATATGTGGGATCCGAACCGGGGCCCTGCTGCTCAGAGCTGGCGCTCCCAGGTGAGCTGTTAACCAGCTGAGACACTCGCCCGGCCCTGCAGCACACACTTTTTAATGGACTATAATGGAAAAATCAGTATCTAGAATGCAGGAGGCATTGTTTTGTGAGACTTACTTCATTTATGTAGTTTTTGTTTTTTTTTAATTTTAAGGTGAGCCATCCTGCCACCTGTTGGCAGCTCAGCTCGGGCCGGGAATCGAACTGGCAACTCTGTGGTTAACAGCTCGCACTCTTGAACAAACTCTTAACCAACTGAGCCACTCGGCCGGCCCCTCATTTATGTATTGTAGATATGAGTGTACTGAATGCTGGTAAAACCTTTATTACTGTTTTTCACCAGCCAGGGTTAGAAGCCGTCAGGCTGGGTTCTGTGTGGTGCTAATTAGCAAATCAGCATCACCTGGAAACTTGGTAAAAATGCAAATTCTTGGACCACCCAGACCTACCGAATCAGAAATCTCGGGGTGCAGTCCAGTACATCTTCCCAGTGATTCTGACGTCGGCTTGTTTGAGACAATCGCCACATTAGATTGGGGGTCGGCAAACTGACTCACTGGCTACCACTGAAGTTCAAGGGGAGGACAGGCAGGCCCGGTGGTTCCTGTCCTGTGACTGCCTTTGGGTACAGTGGCAGGTGGAATAGGTGCCCAGAGACCACATGACCCCCAAGCCTGCAGTCTACTGTGCAGCCCTTCGCAGAGGAAATGTGCTGACCCGCATTCGCCCAATGACCTCTGTGCGCCCTTCCTGCTTTCACCATCTCTGGTGCAAAGTCCACGTGATGTTCCCTCCTCATGTGAAAATTCAGGAGTGTTGGCACAGCATTCCTCTAGCGTGTACCCCTTATCAGTCACCAGCTCGGTCTCCCCGGGCCTTTCCTGCCTCTGGTCCTCTGTTCAGTGTCCTCAGGAGGCAGTGGTGCCTTCTAGGGCTCCCTCCCCACCGTCCCATGCTGGCCTGTCCTTGTATGACTCCCCACACACCCCCGCTGGCCTAGGTCAGGTCTGGAAGTCCATGCCTGTCTCCTGGAGCCAAGGAACTAACTGTCCATCCGGGTTACTAGTGCCTGCACCAGGACCAGGCAGGACTTGGCGTTTATCAGTCGCCTCCTGATTTTCTCTCCCCAAAAGGTTGCAAGTTAAATCGCCTGAATTCGGTTGTTGGTGAATACGCCCGTGCGTGCCTACATGTGGCCCGAGACTGTGGGACTGACGTGCTTGACCTGTGGACCCTGATGCAGACGGAGGGTCAGGTAGGATGGCTTGCTTGGTCTTATTGGGGTGCGTAGGATCAAACAGTGTGGCTCTGAGTAGGCAAGCAAGTTGTCCCTCTCACCAATTAAACTTGGAGCAGAAAGGAGTGGCGAGGCCTTGGGACAGCTTGCAGAGCGCACCCTCTCTGGCCTGGCTCCTTAGCTGCAGGAAGCAGGGGCCCCTTTAAGTCCCTGAGTTAGCACAGTGAAATGAGCGAGAAACGGCTCGTTTGAGAACATCTAGGCCAGGCTCTTTTGTAAGATGGAAGGGGGAAACTTGTTGCCAGGCAAAACACTGAACGGAAGTAGAATAAGGTATCAGCTAAAATTCGTATAGTTTCATATGTGGTTCCAACTAAATTACTGGGTTTAAAGCCAAAAAGGCCACTTACAAATATGAAGGGTAAGAGGCCAATCTCCGTGCAGAATGGAACAGCCACACAGGAACACTGACCACTTCCGATAACAGTGAAACATACGCTTACACAGGACCCGGCAATCTCACTCCTGGGTGTTTACACGAGTGAAAACTGTTTCAGTCATCCTTGGAAACCTTGACTAGATTGGACCGTTTCATGGATTCCCAGTAGGAGCAGCCCTGGCAACTGGAGTGCTGCAGGGGACAGCAACCCGAGTTCTGTTTTTGTCTGCGTTAGGCTTCCACCTGAGGTGGGTGGGAAAAGTGCAGCTGAAGACAAGGAAACTGCAAACCACGGGGCCAGCTGCTCTTACAGTCCTTTTAGATTTAACACTAAGATTCTAGAATGAGAGGGTCTTACTTAGCAGTCCTCTCATCTACAACAGCAGCGATGAGAAAACGAAGGCCCAGGAAAAGTGCCTCTAGAATTGGAATCCTAGTCGGAGAAAGGCTAACAGGGATGGGGCAACTGAGCTGAGGGAAGGCTCTTCCCAAATGCGAAAGGGCTCTAATGGGCAGTGTTCCTGAGCTCAGGGTATGGGGGGACTGGACTCCTGTTCTAGCCTGGATGGACGAGTCAAAAACGGCACACTGAGCTTTAGCACCAGATTTCTCATTTTGTGGATTAATGTGCCATATTCGCTCATTAAGCCTCTTCTCTGAACGGATGACCTAGAAGGACGTCTCAGCTCAGATGCTCAGGGGTGGGAAACTTTATGAAGCTCCACCTGTAATATGCACGTAACTTGCAAACGGTGTGTGAACTTGGGTACACTGAGCACGAGCTGCTACACCACTGTCCCAGGAGACTGTTGGTCGGGCTGATGATGTGCCAGTCGGGGCCACCGCTGGGGAGTAGGACACCAGGATTAGAACACACACACCTTTAACTGAGTCCTCTCTTTCTCCTTACAGGACTTTTCATCCTATTTGTCAGACGGGCTACACTTATCACCAAAGGGAAATGAGTTTTTGTCCTCACATCTCTGGCCTTTGGTAGAGAAGAAAGTCTCCTCCCTCCCGTTGCTGCTCCCTTACTGGCGGGATGTAGCAGAGGCCAGGCCGGAACTCAGTCTTTTGGGAGACGGGGACCATTAGTCACAGATGAAACCCAGGCTGGCTGTTTCTTTACAGCACAAGACGTCACCATGCACAGAAACCCCCAGATAAGCAATCAAAGAATATTATTTTCTCCTGACTGTGGAACAAAAAACTCTGACGTTTGCTAACAAGTTTAATAAAAGCATAATTTTTCAGGAAGCTTTGTACCTAGCTGTGTTTTGATACTTGACTGATGCAGGTGTCATCAGTGCCACAGCTACAACATACACCCTGAGCAGCTTGTTTATTCTGTAAATGGAAAACAGGTAAGCACAGTTTTGTTTTTTAAAAAGTTATAATTTTATTAAAAAAAAGGGTTTCTTGCATTCTGCTGGGAGCTGCTTCACTCATACACCCACACATCCCACTTATCAGATTCCAAAAGTGTAATTAAAATATAAGAATATCACAACTAGTTAAAAGACAGCCAATACCACAAGGTACAAGTTCAAGTATTAGTGTAACAGGTATCTGTGTCACAAACATCCTTAGAAAGTAAGACACCATTTGTCACAGGTTTGGTTAATTGCCCTCAAAGTTGACCAACTCTCATTTAAAACGTGTTGACTGGTGAGCACATTTCAGTACTTACAGGGAAAAAGCTTTAACTATAATTTTAAGGAAATCAGAATTCCAATGATTGATCCTTCACACAGTAAATGCACCCCGCCCAGAATCTGAAGCACTAAAGCAAGAAGTAATGCAAAGCCCCACCTGCAGGTCATACAGAGGAGTCTTAAGATCAATCACTTGTGTAGAAATCAAGCCCCAGGGAAGCAGCAGTCACACCTCGGCCCATTCAAAACCACCTGTTCTTTACCATCTGTTCTTTTGAGGTGACTTATCTACCTCTTAGGCTAGTGTTGAAAAAGAGGCGACCATACTCTTATTTTGAAGTAGTTTGTTTACCCAGCAAATTAGGGCCCTAAAGAGTTGGCAAGGTTCTGTAAATTCGTAACTCAGGTAAACTAAATTGGTTTAATTCTAGAGCATACTAACCTTAGAATTCTAAGAAACATTAACCCATACTCGTCCTTAATTTATGTGTAATTCTCCTTGCTGCTGAAAGCTCTGGGTAATACCTAGAACCAGAACCCCCATTATGGAGCTAATGTACAGCTTGGTTTTCTCCTGTCTTTACTTGAAGGCAAAAATAAATTATGTGTTCCAGTTGTCCTCACAAGTAACTGCCAAATGCCTCATTATGTTCAGCGGATCATTACAGTGTATAAAAAAGAAAATTGACCGTTTCCCTAATCAGTGCTATTATCAATATAAAAGGTTAATTTACAAAAATGTAAATATTTATAACCTAATCCAGCTATATTTTCTGCTTTTGCACCACAGGTTGAAGGATATTTTAAAGATCAAAAACACTAAAACCTGAAAGCCTCAAAATAAGCTAGATTCACCTTACCTGTTCCCAAGGAAAGGGCCTGACCACACAAGTACGACACATGGGAGGGGTCCAAACAGGGCCAGCATGTGCTGGCAAGTCACCTCCTTGTTCTCCCAAATCTTCACAAAATACATGCAGTGATTTTAGGTCAAATCTATGAGAATATTTTGCACACTAAGTCCAACAGCTCAGAACGTCAGTCCCTAAACTAGCACTCTGTCTCTTTGCTGTCAACACGATTCTGACGCTGCAGCTTAAATGATGAGGCCTTTTCGCTTCTCGTGACCGGGTGGTCCGTGAGATCCTCAAAGGACTTGGCGGCTGTGCTGCTGTTCGGGAAGGGGTCCTTCTCAAAGCCATCCTCGTCCATGTGCGAGTCCATGCTGGGGTCTTCCTGGATGGTGTCCATGCGCTGGTGGTCCAGTTTCGGAGCCACAGGTATCACGGGGGCGGGCTGCAGGCGTCCAGGCGTCTGGGGTCCAGGAAAGGGCTTGATGATGCGAACCGATGCGGAGTCCATGCTGCTGAGCATCTCGACATTCTGGGAAGACATGGCAGTGAAAGGTGGGTAACAGTCCTACAGCTCCCACGTTACCAACCAAATGGCCTTACACTTGGTGCCATGACCCCTCACGCTAAGGAAAGCGCTAGGTGAGGCTCCCTCAACTCAGAAATGACTTGAGTAATTAGCTTTCAAATGTCCTGACAACGTGGCATTTGAAGACCCCCAAAGAGAACTCATAAGAAATAACTCTCAAGTTCTCAAAATATTAACCACGTTGGTGCTAACAGCTAAGTCCCTCACGGCTAAGGGGACGGGCAGAGCAGCAGCGTTGTTACATCTCCACCGTCACTGTGTGAGGACTTGAACATCCAGCCTAGATCCTTCCTGCTGCAACATGGTCTCCACTAACCAAAGCAGGTGTAGCTGGGGGGCCAACGGAAGGCCTGCACTCAGCAGGGGCCCACGGTGGAACCCACAGGCCCATCTCCTTCCCGTAACATACTTACACTGGGGTGAAACAGAGACAGGGACTCGTACTGCTTGTCCAACTTCTTATCCTAGAGGGAGAAGCAACAGGGAAAAGGTCATTCCCACAAACGAAATTCAGTTAAACACCTTTCCTTATCGGCTCGTCCTAATACTGAGTGAAGAACTTAGAACCTGAGTTCGAGATATGAAGGTGAACTTGACATAAACTGAGTTCTGCCACCAGCTCAGAAGTGTTTCCTTTGTGCTTGTAAGACATGTTTTTTGGCCAGGTGTAAGTGCTGTCTTCCTGATCTCCATGGCAGGAGGGTAACAAGGGCATCACCCAGTGTCTTAACCCTGCCTGTGCCAGGATCGGCTGGCCTCGGGGCCGCTGGTGGAAGGCTATAGGGGCTGTGCTTGCTGTCACCTGGCTCTGGCTTCGGGCCCGGGCCACCACATCCGGAATCCTATTGGCTGTTTCAAGTTTCTGTGGCCCAAACTTGAAGAGACTGGGCCTCAGAACTGACATCCTATTTATGCAAAAGGCTGCAGACACATTCCAGCCACTGCCCCCAGCCTCTGCCTGTGGCTGACACTAACCAATGACAATGGGCACCAGGCAAGGGGCTGAGCCTGCAAGTCTAGGCCTGGCTTTGAGTCCAGCTGCCCTCAATGTATTCTGTAGTCAGAAACCAGCCATCACCCTCACTCCTGTCAGCAGCTTTGCTGGTAAACCAAGGGTCAGGCCTCACGGTTCCCTGGAAACAAAGTAGGTTCCACTCCCAAGTAAAAGCACCCATAATGGAGGACACTGTCACCCATCTGTCAAAGCTTCTACCACCTCGTCGCTTTGCTTTAGCAGAACTGCTCGCTCCCTGGTGACTTGCCTCCCACGCCCACTGTGCTCATAATCCTGAGGAGCTGCCCAGTGAGGCAGCGCAGGCAAGAGAGGCGGAGCGGTAAACACTCGTGAGAGTTGGCTGTGCTGGAATTTTCCAAGCGCTCACGTGAGGGCCATTGCAAGAGTGCCCGAGTAAAGTCTGGAATCCTGGGTCTGATTTCCTTGTCTTTACAGCAGACAGAGAAGCAAGGCAAATGGATTTGTAAGAAGAATTCTGAAAAAGCCCCAAGTTTATCAAGTACTTGGAGTTCCTCAAAGCCTAATTCAGTTGTTAGCAATTACTCATTTCGAATGAGAATAAGAAAGAGCTCACTCATTAGCCTAGCTGGAAGGGTCTGATAAAGCCAAAAATCAGTGTGGCACAGGGTGCCATCTGGGGGACGTTGATGTTTGCTGTTTGCTCTGTTATAACCATGACAGCCTGAAAATACTCCTGGCAGGAGCTTCACTCAGCAGACAAATCTAGTCAGTCTCCTGCGCTTACAAGTACAAAATGCCCAGACACTATACATGAAACATCAAACATCCACACACAAAAAGTGGAATTCTTTTAAGAGACTATCGGCTAAGCTTTTTACACGATATGCTTTCCTAGGGATAACACCAAAAAATGTGATTGGAAACATCAGATTCTGTTAAGAACAAATTTATCTTTTCCAAAAATTATATGGTTGGAGCTGCTCAAAATTTTAAGAAAATGTTTTGTTACTTAAAAATGGTGACTTACCACACAATGGACAAGTATGCTGAAAGGAATCCAAAATATCAAGGAGAAAACCAGGACGGAACCTACGATGTTGTCTGCTAAAAACTTCCCTGTGAACAATTTCAAAACGTGAATGTCTTGAACACTTTACAAATCTAAAACCAAATGCTCTTAGAATGTTATCATTGTGACAAATGTTGTGGACTGGCTACAAACTACTACTGACCCGGTACACAGAGGAGTGTCTGTGCCACCTGTATGAGACCTGATCATCTCCCCACACCACACAGGTCCTTCCAGAAATAACCCTGACACACAGACTATAGAGTGTTCAACACGGTGCCTAAAGTTACTGTTTGAATGGAGTGATCGCATAGTAGTAACTGGCAACGATGCTTATGAAGATACTGTTGTTGCTATCTAGGGATTTTTGTGACTAAACTCTAAATTATAGGCCCTAGAGGACATAATACGTCCTTGTTTCTGTAAAATCTGAGGCCCCCCCCCCTTTTTTTTTTTTAAGATTTTACTGGGGAATTGGGGAAGAGGAACAGTGTTGGGGAATTGGGGAGGGGACCAGCCAAGTTGTTGTCCCTCAGTCTTAGTTGTGGAGGTGCAGATAGCTCAGCTCCAAGTCCAGTCACCATCCTGCCACCTGTCGGCAGCTCGTGGCCTCTAAGCTCAGGGTGCCGTGTTCAGTCTTAGTTGCAGGTGGGCGTAGCCACCACCCTATGTGGGAGTCGAACCAGCAGCCTTGTTGTTAGGAGTGCACGCTCTATCCACTGAGCCATCCAGGCAGCAGCTCACCTCAAGGTGCCGAGTTCAGTCTTAGTGCAGGTGGGCACAGCCCACCATCCCATGCGGGAGTCAAACTATAAACCTTGTTAGGAGCACATGCTCTCACCAGCTGAGTCATCTCGCCACCTGTTGGCAGCTCAGCTCCGGCGCAGCTCACTGGCCCATCTGTTGCTCAGCACTTGCATTCTTAACCAACTGAGCCACTTGACCAGCCCGAGGCCCATTTTTAAATAAATAATTCTTACATCAAACAGGATTCGGATTTACAATCTATGGGACTGAACCACACTTATGATATTACATGTCCATTTCTTAGTAAGAAAGAAGCCAATATTTTGACTAAGTATTGACTTCCCTGGTCTGAAAATTTATATACACGCTACAAAGGGGCAAACCTATGAGTCCATCTGTTTTGAAACAAAAGCAGTGGTTATTTCCATTTCCTGCTGCAGGATTGGAGCATATGTGTCTGAAGCAACACTATTCAAATGTCATCCCAGAAATCGGCTCGGTTCTACGCAGACCGCCACCAGGGGAATCACCTACCGAAAGTATTGATGCTCAGCTGGTCGATGAAGTCCCAAAACCGCTCGATGACGTCCTGTACTCGCTTCTCACATTTGCCCTAGTAACAGAAAACACACAGCATTACCCCAGAGAACATACATTCAGAAGCAACATGGCTTTATAAAAGTAACTAATATGTGACAGGCCTCATTCAATCAAACATCGGGGGCCCATTTTGACACAGGCAACAATTCAAGTGTAATGAGTGCCTGAGAGAGCAGGGTACTGTCACTGCCACTCCACAACCAGTCCATTTTTATTTTATTTTTTTTATTTATTTTTTTAAAGATTTTTATTGGGGAATTGGGGGGATGGGAACAGTGCTGGGGGATTGGGGAAGCGGAACAGACAAGTTGCTGTCGTTTTGTTCTTCAATCTAGTTGTGGAGGACGTTGCTTCACTTGCCCAAGTTGGCACCATCATTGCGCTCTTCCCGGGAGAGGCAGATCAGTCGCCGGCTTCTGGACGGCCGCTCACTGCGGCTGCTGGCCGCTCACGCTGGCTGCTGGCTACACACGGTAGCCCATGGCAACCCACTGCCACAGGGACTGCAGCCTACACCGTCGCCAGCGACTCACGGCAGCCCAGCTCCAGGTTGAGCTGTTGTTCAGCATCTTAGCTGTGGAGGGCAGTGTCACTGGCCCTCATATGCGGGATCCGAACCGGGGCCCTCTGGCATCCCAAGCGAGTTCTTAACCATGGCGCCACAAGGCCGGCCCACCAGTCCATTTTTAAATGAGTGAATTTAGAATTACCAGGAGACAAAACCAGTTTGTTAGACGGGGCACTCCAGTAAGGGCTCCACTCATCGCACACGCGCACACAAGGGCACCCAACCAGGCTGCCTTGGAGAAGCCGCTAGCCCTCGTCCGTGTTCTGCACAAATACAATTAGGTTTCTGTACAAAACAAAGGGCTGACTTCAGTGAGTCGAGCTGCCTTTAGATGTTTCCTACTCACTCGGCACCTTGCATTTTCACAACCCTAATTTTATAATTAACCTAGAAAACCAAATAATCAGGACCCACAGCCCCAAACCAAACTCTGCCAAAGCCCCCAGAGGTCCTGCGCAGTCTCTGGGCTCGGGTGCCCTGCTCTGGAGGAGTGCTCGAGCTCCCTGAGCGCTCGGCCTTTCCTCTGAGGTCGTGCTCACACACACCTCACCAGACTCAACACAAGAACAAACGGGGTTAGAAGGACATGGCAGCATTTGCGTTTTCATGTTCTTCCATTTGCAAAACCAAGTGTTTACAATATAAACTTTTCCATGTGACTCTTACAGAAAAAAGCTGTACATAAATACTCACATTCATGTCACAAAATCCTACTGTACAGGGCTTCCCTTTCCTCAGAAACAAGTTCTTCTGTTCGGCATCGACGTAGGGCACGCACCGGCCCGAGGGGTCCCGGCAGCACACCTTGCATGAGTTGTCAGTCTCTGAAACGGAGCGTGGCGACAGCTGGGGTTTGCTCAGACACATGGCGCTCCTCCTCCCCTTCTCTCCGCCCTCCCCTGCTCCCAAGCGGGAAGGAATCACATTGATTCGTTTCAAAAGCTAACACTATCCATATTTCACCCCTTGAGAAACAGCTGCTGCGTTCACACTCCTTGGTCCTGAGTTAGGCCACAGGTAAGTATTTACACAGAAAAGTGTCCTTCACGGGTAAAAGCCCAGTTATTCTACTTTAAACTTCCATGAGGCTGAATATTTCCCTTCGTCCCAACGTTATTACCCTGCTGCCTTCACGCATGCGCTGGAAAGCCAGGGCTCCAGCTAGAGCCGACCAGCTGAGACAGAGCTGGAACCTCCCGGGCGTGCGTCTGAGTGACCCGCGTGCCAGGAGCACCGCAGCCTGCGCATGACGACTTGCTCCATGGAGGCCGGCCTCTGACGGCACGTGGGGGACAGAACCAGCTGGGCCTCAGCTAAGCCACTGGCGCCGATATGACAGCAGTCAGCTGGCATGTGCCTCAGGGCGGTTTTCACCTCACCCAGGGCAAGTCCACGTTTACACGGAGGGGAACTCAGAACCCACCAGAACACCAAAACAGGAAAACCACAAGGAAAACAAAAGTCTCTCATCGCACCTTCATTCACCAAGTGTTTCTTGGGCATTTACTATGGCTGTCCAGGGCACCCAGGGCTTCCTGCCACTCACCCAGTAAATTATTTATTTGGCTTCTATTGTGTTATCGTCTTTATTTTCATGTTCTCCCACCCGGAAGAGCTACTGACTCCGTAGTATGGATTCTGAGTTCCCAGCCCAGTGGTTCTGACTTCTGGGCTTTTTGCTCTGAAGCAGCAACTTTCTCTGAGGCCCCTCCTCAGACCCAGGGGTTCCTTCGAAACATAGCGTGGGAACCCCAGGACAAGCGTCTGAGAGGCCAGCATGATGCCGCCCACCACTGCTAGGCGAGGCCCGCCCAGGCAGGTGGCAGGACACAAAGGGCGGCAGGCCAGCCCTGTCGACAACAAACAGTCCCAGAATCAGCTCTCTCCGGTGATGTCTTAAAGGAGCATCACAGTTCAATGCCAGTGGGACCCAGACAGCCCCCGCTGCTTTCCTGACGAGTATGACATTGTGGGGGGAAGGCATCTACTCACTCTAACAAACTCCCCTACTGCCCCCCACACCCGCCGCCACACGGTCTGCAAATGTGGCAGAAGGAAGACTGGTGGGGCCGTCTGCAGAGACCAGCCTGCACTCCCTATGACCCCACGAGGTCCTCACCACTATACGGCCCAGCAGTGAACAGCTGACACCGCCGGGCCCCCGAGGATGGGCCAGGGCCAGGGCCCAGCAGACACGGACTGCAGGAACGTGGCAGGGGAGTCGCTCACCATTGCATGCGCAGGACTCCAGCTGCTGTTCCCGCTCACAGAAGGGCACGCACTTCCCATCTTTACACTTGCCCAGGTCCAAGCACACCGTGTCGTCCTCAGCGTTTCCAGGAGGGGGGCACTCACTGCTGTTACCTGGAAGCACACAACAAGCACACAGGAGCCTGAGTCATGGCCCCCAGTTCTGCAGGGCGGGACACACCACAGTGACCCGCACAACAGTGAGCACCAGGCAGGCAGTCCAAGGTGACCCACAGGAGGGGTACAACCAGACAGGCGCTGAGTACAGGGCTGTGCTAAGCTCTCCCAAGTGTCTACTCAGGCTCCATGGCCTCACCTCTGTAACTAGCTACCATCTTCCATGTATGCTGCTTTTACCTTTTACTGTGGAATGTAACATACACGTAAAAATATGCACGTACTGTTATCACTGATAAGACAAACGCCTAGTGCCTCGGTTCCTTAGACAGAGCGAACTCCTCTGGAGGCTGACGAGCTGTGACCTGGCCCTGGCACCCTGACCTCAGCTACAACGGCTGCCTTCAATTTCTTCACCCCTCCAAGGTCCTCCTCACCTCAGAACCCCAACATATCCTATTTCTTCTGCCCCGAATGCTCGTTTCCACTTTTGGGAGGGTTGGCTAGCTTTTTCCCACCCTTTAGATTTGTCTCACAGATCCCGAGAGCTCCCTGAAGACCTGACCTCAGCTGGTGACCCCTCACCCGTCATGCTCCATCACTACACACTACTTCTCACCTTCTGGCACGTTCCCAATCAACGTCTATTTGATTATCTACAGTTCTTTCCTATTTCCCCTTCACCTTTCTCGGGTACGCTCCCTGAGAGCACAGATCAGACCTATCAATGATTCAACTTACGTCCAACCCCATCACACTGTACATACACCAAAAATGTTTCTTGAATGAATCAGTGCGTCTTAAGGACAAAGAAACATCATCAAAGGATGTTAAATTCGGGGGAGAGGATGGAATGAGTGACTCATTCTGGAAAATGAGCAGCACAAGCAGTTAAAAGTCAACACAACAAGGGAAAAGAAAAATTGCATGAGAACAATGGACTGTGCCCAGAGCTCTGGAGGCCTGGCCGCTCAACTGAGGCATGGAGCCAATCGAAAGAATTCCAACTTCAAGGTCTATGGAACAGTGACACAAAACTTAAGGAAATCTGCCCTATTTCAAACAAAAGCAGCCTTTCGTTAAGAACCTACTATATATACACTTCCTTGGGCATTTCACATTTGCCTCTGGTCTTCTACAACCTTTTACGGGGCTGGGCAGTCACTGTGTCAACAAGACAGTCACTTAACAAACCTGCTCCTACTAAAAGCAAGCTCCAAGTTTGGGGAAGGCTTATGTTACATTCTGTATCATCCTTGTATTTTCAGTTATGATGCTGCGCTCAACAGATACAGAAAAAGGCTGAATGGATATCTGCTGACCTCTGTTCTGAAAAGACTGAAAGTATCAAACGTGGGAAATTCGTTAAAAACACAGCATCACATTTATTGTGGTTCTCAAAGTTTAGCACACTGCAGCTGACCTGGGGACGCTGTGACACAGATCGCTGGGCCCTGTCCCCAGAAGTGCTGGTGCAGTGAGCCCAGGGAGGGGACCAAAAATTCCCATTTCAAGCCAGATTCCATTCCTAACATGACGCTGACCTGCTGGCTTTTTTCACCCTCTGTTGCTGCTGCTCCACATAAAACATCAAGCGAACAAAAGGCTGTTGACAAAACAAGTTTTTTTGAAGTGTTTTACTTGTGCTTATTTTAAAAAATAAAATCGTTCTGAACCTGTTTTATTTTTACAGTAAAGACCGAGACACTGAGCACAGCTAGAATATGCTTTTTAAAGCCTGCCTGAGATATTCAAGTTCCTGATGTTTCACAAACTAATGCAATACCAACAGATCTCAGAACATAAAAATCACAAGTAACATTTTATAAAATGCACCTTTAAAACACAAAGGAAAAACCAAAAGGAGATACCACTTCCCCCCAACTTTGGATGGCTACAATTAAAAAGACAGTAACAAGTGTTGGAGAGGATGGGGAGAAATTCGAACGCTCATACACTGCTGGTACGAATGTCAAATGGTGCAGCCGCTTTGGAGAACAGGCTGGTGGGGCCTCAAAAAATTAAACGGAGTTACCATATGCCCCAGGGATTCTACTCCTGGGTATACTCAAAGGGAATGGAAACATGTGTCCACACAAAACCCCGCACACAAATAGTCACAGCAGTATTATTCATGATAGCAAAAAAGTGAAAAGAATCTAAAAATCCATCAATTAATGACTAAAACAGAATGTGGTATATATCTACACAATGAAATATTATCAGCAACAAAAAGAAATGAAGCATTGGTTCATACTACAGCGATGAACCTTGAAACATTATTCTGAGGGAAAGAGGCCAGACACAAAAGGCAGCATACCACATGATCGATTCCATTTATGGATGACTCCATTTATGCGAAATGTCAGAACAGGCAAATCCAGAGACAGAAGGTGAGTGGTTGTCTGGGGCTGGGGATGAGATCTGGAGTAATGCCTAAAGGGCAAGGGGTGTCTTGCTGAGGTGATCAAAATGATCTAAAATTGATTGCCATGGTTGCTGCACAAATGTGAGTATATTAAAAACCACTGAACTGTACACTTTAAATGGATGAATGCTATGGTGTGTTGATCATATCTCAAGAAAGCTATCTCAACCAACCAACCAACTAAAAGATAAAGGTGGAAAAATACGAGAATGGAATAGATATAACAGACAAATAAGACAAAAAAAACCCTCATGTAGCAAGTTGAATATTAAATAAAGCGTCGCAAGGGTCAAAAAGTAACATCACACACTTGTAAAGGAATAGCAGACGAAGGTGTGAGAACGTGTACAGCTATGCACCTGATAGTATAGCTTTGAAATGTTTAAAGGAACTGACAGGACTACAGAAGATATGGGTAGTTTAAAGACTAGATCAAGATGGATTAAAGTCCTAATGTAAAAAATAAAATTGTGGGTGACTGGTTAGCTCAGTTGGTTAGAGCGTGGTGATGGTTCGACCCCCGCATAGGCCACTGTGAGCTGCGCCCTCCCTAAAATTCAGCTATGCCATTGTAGCATGAAAGCAACATGTAACCAATGACCATGGCCGTTCCCAATAAAAAAAATTTTTTTTTTTAAAGATATTATTGGGGAATTGGGGAAGGGAGACAGCCAAGTTTTGTCCTTTAATCTTAGTTGTGGAGGGCACTGATAGCTCAGCTCTAAGTCCAGTCACCATCCGGCCACCTGTTGGGCGCTCAGGGCAGCTCAGCTCAAGGTGCCATGTTCAATATTAGTTGCGGGTGGCCATAGCCCACCATCCCATGTGGGAGTCGAACCAGCAACCTTGTTGTTAGGAGCACGTGCTCTCACCAGCTCTCAGCGGCGACCGTGTTGCTCAGAGCTCACCCTCTTAACCAACTGAGCCACTCGGCCGGCCCAAAAAAAAATTTTTTTAAAGGTAAAATTGTGAAGCTAATAGAAGAACCTGTGAAAAATATCTTTGTAACCATCCACAATTCAAAAAAATAAACACATACGTAAAACAAAATGACAGATATGATTACATTAAAATTTAAGATTTCTTTTCCAAGAAGGACAATAGACAGGAGTAAGGTAGATGCAATGTTTAAACCAACTAAATTATTAATATTCTACAAAAACTCCTCCAAATTGATAGCAAAAGGAGATGAAACCCAATTTTTTAAAATGGACCAAATATATGAACTGGCTGGCTATTCACAAAAAGAGAAATCTGAATAGCTAATATAAACAGATCTTCAAGAAAAATGTAAGGAAGGATGAAAAATCACTTTACAAGCATTAGGTTGGCAAAGAATAAGACAGCACTGGCAAGGACGGTGGACCTGATGGTGGCGTCCTGACGGTGATACTGACCCCAGTACTTCTGTTCTAGAGACCAACACAGTGCTGCCCTCGTGACCAGGCGACCCCACGCCTTCAGGCACCCAGGGAACTCTGACAGCCCCGGGGGGCGTCGTATCGAGATGAAGGCAAGCCAAGCGCTCGGTGAACAGAGTAAAACAGTCTCGTGACTAAACATTCGGCAGGTGCCCCAAACAATGAACTAGATGCCAACAGACACTGTACAGCTCAAGGGAGACGATTTGGAAAAGCACGGTACTGAGTTTAAAAAAGATCTAAGGTAGAATACCACTGTGGCACGTTAAAAACACACAGACACAAAGTAACACATGTTGCAAGGACAAGCCCATATCCAGACAAATGTTAAACACATTAGAATGGATCCTATGAGAGGAAGGAGCATGAAGTGGTAAAATGAAGTGAAGGAAAGGGAAATAAACAATGAAAAGAAACCACAGACCAGTGATGAGTGTGCCACAAACTAAGGAGCACAATCAACTCAATTCTCCACAGGGTTAAAAAGGGTTGCTCTGAACCAAGTGAAACAATCCTGCCTCCCAAACACACATACGCACTTGAGGAAAGTATTGCACGAGAACAGGACGTACCTGTGCAGTAAGACACGCCTTTGCAAGTTGCATTAATAGCCTCTTGGCACTTCTTCTGGGCAGTCTCGAACTGACAGTTTTTACAGCAGGGACTGTTCCTATCACTGCAGGAGAGCAAACAGGGGTGGTTTAAGTCAAAGGACAGTGCCACAGCTCACACCATGAAGATAGCAGGTCTGGCTGGGTCACCCACTCCCGCATAAACAGATTTCCCAGGGGCTGGCGCACCCCACACTCTGTCTGCCCTTCCTAACGTGGAATCAGGCAGCAGCAAAGCAGAGTAAGTACAGGGTGGTCTTAAGTGACTCGTCCTTAAAAAACATCTTGGGGGCCGGCCGAGTGGCTCAGTTGGTTAGGAGCTCACGCAAGAGTGCGAGCTCTGAGCCAACAGAGGTTTGAGTCCCAGCCCGAGCTGAGTTGCCGCTGAGCTGCCAATAGGTAGCAGCATGGCTCAGCTAAAAAAAAAAAAAAAATCTTGGTGTCCTGAGTTTTCATTAACTTAACATAATAATTAAAAGAAAAAAGACACAGGGCCGGCCGAGTGGCGCGATGGTTAAGAACTCGCTTGGGATGCCAGAGGGCCCCGGTTCGGATCCCACATATGAGGGCCAGTGACACTGCCCTCCACAGCTAAGATGCTGAACGACAGCTCAACCTGGAGCTGGGCTGCCATGAGTCGCCGGCGACGGCGTAGGCTGCAGCCCCTGTGGCAGTGGGTTGCCATGGGCTACCGTGTGTAGCCAGCAGCCAGCGTGAGCGGCCAGCAGCCGCAGTGAGCGGCCATCCAGAAGCCGGCGACTGATCTGCCTCGCCAGAGAAGAGCGCAATGATGGTGCCAACTTGGGCCAGTGAAGCAACATCCTCCACAACTAGATTGAAGAACAAAACGACAGTTCTTCTTCCCCCAATTCCCCAGCACTGTTCCCATCCCCCCAATTCCCCAATAAAAATCTTTAAAAAAAAAAAAAAAAAAAAAAAGACACAGGCCTAAACAACAGGTGAAAGGCAATGGTCAAGAAACTAGGCAGCCGAGCCCTATCCCCATCAGCCCTTACAATGCTCAGGCGCACGGTAGGCAGTCAAACCTGTCATTCACACGAACCAAAGCTTCCCCTCCCACTTCTACAGCAGGCGCTGCTCTCTCAGTGCACATAAAAATGGAAATACAGGCACCTTCTAACTTGTGACCTGCTTTCTGCACATTTAGTTCATGCCATTCAACAGTTCTCCCCATCACTAAGCTACTGCAGACACACAATTGCTTTATATCCCAACTGTCATTTTGTTTCCAACATTTTTGTTTGTTTGTTTGTTTTTGTGGAGGGCAGTGTCACTGGCCCTCACATGTGGGATCCGAACAGGGGCCTCTGGCACCCCAAGCCAGCTCTCAACCATCGCGCCACTCAGCCGGCCCTGTTTCCAATATTTTGCAGTTATAAAAGAATGATGCTGCGAACATCCTTGTTAATCATCTTTCCTGTACATCTGTTTCCTTAGGAGATTCTTTGAGCTGTGGGATTGAACTCTGTTATCAAAGAGCATAGAGATTAAGGATTTCATTACATAATGGCCAGCTGCTTTCCGGAAAGCATTTCTCTTGCTGTAAGGGCAAAGGAGAGGACACACGCACACACATATGCACACGTGCACAGACCACACCCTCTCAGGGACTCCAAAGCCCCTGTCTGCACTTTCAACTGCCATGCCCCGGGAGCCCTGCCACCCGGCTGCCCGTGGCGCAGGTCTCACCTGCACTGGACGCCCTCCTTCAGCGTGCAGTTGTTGTGGCAGCAGGTGTCGTTGTTCAGGTACATGATGCCGGGGTCGCACTCCTCGCCTTCATCCACCCTGGAGTTCCCACACACTTTGTTGCTGCGCTCTTGGAAACACTCCTGGGCCTTACTTTCAATGGTCTTATAGATGGACTGTTTACTGCAGTTTGAAAACATCTTAAGAGAAAAAAGGCCACAAAGGACCCAAACTAACATAAAAATTCATTCCCATGTAAGTGTTTATACCACTTCTCTAGGAATAAACCCTTAATGTGAAAGTCACAACCAGAGCCACCTGAAGGTTTGTCAGGTTCCACTGCTGTCACTTTAAATGCATTTACATGGAACTGAGTTATCCCCTCTGTCAGATGCTAAAAAGCTGGTGAGGATCTGGTGAAGAGCCTAAAGTGCTTCAGAGGAAGGGAAGCTACACACAGGCTGAGGCCAAACATCCCTGCCAGGTTGAGAGGACAAGCGGTCCAGTATGAGCAGACAGTCGTGAGCTCCACCAGGCTCTAAAGCGTCCCCTCCTCAGGCATGGCATGCTGAGGTGACATGAGAATGGGGCACAAACCACTGTCTTCCTAAACATAATGATTCGGGCACACAGAACAGGGTCTGTTTCCGGTTCACCTCCTCTTTCCCTGGCTATTTGTATGAATGAGTCATGTTTAAAGTTTTTAAATAGTTGGGCTTACTAAGAGGCATAATATTACATTTACATGTAGTCTATTATAGATTAAATTCCAAACTGTTACCTAAAAGTTTTCATGGGTCCCCAAGATTTTAACAGTTTTTCTGAGTTTTCTAAGGTGACCAGTGTCTCAGAGGAGGTCTCTACCTCACCTTCCCCACTTGCGGTACAGAACCACGGAAATGGCCCCCTTCTAAATTTGGTAAGTTTAACCAAAAGCTCTGAAACAGAATCTACTTTCCAAACCACCTGAAATGATCAAGAAAAGGGCTAAGAGACTCGGAGAAAACGTAGTGTGGTTATTTCTTAAGGTAGGGTATCCACAGTTCTCAGCAAATTGCTAAAATGGTTTTCACTTTCACCCCAGACAAGAGCCACGAGGCCCCTGAAGAGCAAAGCGCACAGGACCCTCCACAGGTGACTGTGACCACTGATGAGATACCAAAAGGGAACACTTTCAGGAAGATTATCCAAGACCTCTCACCCTAAAAAGAAATACTAACTGGACTTTTTAAAAAGGATCTTCCAATTAATGTTTATAGTGAAGACATTTAAGGTGCCTGGCTCAAAAGAGAAGTCAGGACAAATAACATTACCGTCTTTCCTGATTGGAGACAGACTCTCCTAGCCCCTTCCCCCAGCCCTCTTTAACTCAGCAACGAAACCAATGTTTTCCTTACATTGCCTGGTGCTGCTAAACTTCAAGTAAAATGAAAGGACTAGACATCTATGAACACTTTTAGTTCAGATTCTAAGATCACAGCCACTCTTAAAGTCTGAAACTGTTGCCAAAATCCCAAGTCAACTAGTATACCCTATCAGAAACGCTCAACAGTAAATTGTTCACTCATTGACTCGACACAATTATGAGCCACATACCCTTAACCAGACACTGGAGACAGAGCTGTGAACAAGAAAGGCAAAAAAAAAAGCCTTCCCACGGGAGGCTTTCAGCTGGCAAATTATGTATTTTGTCGCAATAGTTTATGAAAACATGCAAACTATGACATAATAGCATTTAAATGAATAACTTATAAATGAAATGACAGGAAGTTTTTAACTTAAAGTTGCAATCTAGAACTCCAACACAAGCTATCACTAATTTTCCATCTAGCCCAAATCTCTACATGATTAATCTTAATACCAAACAGTCTAAATGACCGTTTTAACCAGATTTAGATGGATCATGTTTCACTCCAAAACACCAAGTTTCAAGGTGCTTTGTCACTTACAGTTCCATCTCTAAAACAGAGCTTTTCTGAGCTTCCATTATAATTAGCCTCTTTCATTCCGAACCACATAAAGACACTCCAAGACACACACCTTATTGTTCTCGTGGTCTCCACTCACAGCGATGGGATACATAACGAATTTTCCTCCCTGGTCCTCATTTGGGGCACATTCTGCTAGACCATCCGGATCGTGTTCTGCTCCAAAATTGTGCCCCAATTCATGAGTTGTAACCAGGTCAGCTTCCTAAGGACCATGTAAAGAAAACATTGTTTCCCGATACCCAACGTTCCCCTGCTCGGCCAGTTGGGCCCTGCTATCTTAAATCGGGTCCTGATTAATCAGATCTTAATTAACCAGATCCTGAAAGGATCCTTAATTCTGCTCAGGCAGCAATGTACTCAGCTAAAATAGCCACCTTCCCATGTTCCCTTGAGGATATGGGCAGTCTTGTGACCTGGCTCTGTCCACTGAAATATAAACAGAAGCTGGTGGGTGGGGCTTCCAGAGAAGCTTTTTAAAAGGGACAGATTACTCTTTGTCCTCTTTTCTGAAAAACAGAAGGGAACCATCTTGTGACCCTGAGATGGTAAGCATCAGGCAGAATGGCTGATAGAGTGGGGAAGGTCCTGGACCCCAGGGCATCACCCAGCTGCTGCAGCCCCCACAGGATGCTATCCACAGACTTCCCGCTGACTGAGGCAAATATACTCCATTATTTAAGTCACTGCTTATTGGATTTTCTGTTACGTGGATTTTTCTAGAATATGCCTAACACACTCCTAATGGATATATCTGGGCAAAAACAAGATCCTAAAATCTTCCAGAGGAAAAAAACTGGTCATATACAAAGGATAAAAAAATTGGGAGTGACTTCAGAATCTTTAATAGAAAAAAACACTAAAGGACAATGGAGCCATGCCTTCCAATACGGAGACAACTGAGAAGACACCCAGCTAAATCCTCAATCAAGGCTGAGAGTTAGGGTAGACATTTTCAGATATGCGAACTCTCGAGAATTTGTCTCTTATGTGCCCTTTCTTAGGAGGCTCCTGGAGGAAACGCCACACCAAAATGATGGTGTGAATCAACAGGAGGAAGAACACGGGGTCCAGCAAGTAGTTTAGGGAGGTCTTCAGACAACAGCAGCTACACTGCGGGGCCAGGAACAAGCAGCCACAGGGCAGCTGCAGGACGAGAGGCTCCCAGGGGGACGCTGTCAGGAAAAACAATGATCCTGAAGGGTCTCAAAAGAAGTCTGACAGGTAGCTTTTATTTTCATATTTTCCACCAAAGAACACGTGTTTTTAGACAGAAACCAACAAAAAAGCCAGTATGTATTACTTTTTAAAAAGATACCTACATAAATACACAACTATAATAAACACAAAATCTATCCTTTTAAAAAATAAAAGAACATACCTTTGTAAGGATGGTTTTACCATAATTTTTTGTGCTGGTCAAACCACTATTCAAATAGATATTTTTCTTTCCAATTTGACTATAATATGCTAAAGGAGAAAGGAAACAGACACATTGCTTGTTTAGTACAGAATTCTAACCCAATCAGCATGCTAGTCACACATGTCACATTTGTCACACAACAAATGGAAAGCTTACCCTTTGGACAAACACCTCCGTGACTATTTGCTCTGGGAGAACCAACATAAGCTAATCCAAGAGTCCCCATATCAAAATCCTGGTATGTGAATAGATGTGCTAGGCAGACTTTAGATGCTTCTTCAGCTATATCAAAGCTAAATTGCTTTAAGAAAGAAAGTATTCTTAATTAGATTAACAATTCCATGAAACTGAAAGATGTTTCCTAAGTCCCATTCGATTGACTGCAGGTCTGCACCAACTCGTGCAGTGCAGTGCAATGCTCCCTACCCACAGTTCTCACCCACCTACACAGGTGAAGAGCAGACTCTCATCTGATTTGGGGGGTGGGGGGCACAAAAGGGAAATGCTTGGGAGCTTTTTATAGCACTTTTAAAAAACTAAGAGTGAGGGCTGGCAGAGTGGCTCAGTTGGTTAAGAGTGCGAGCTCTTGAGCAACAGGGTCGCTGGTTCGATTCCCACATGGGCCAGTGAGCTGCACCCGAGCTGAGCTGCCGCTGAGCTGTTGGCAGGATGGCTCAGCTGGTGAGAGCATGTGCTCCTAAAAAGGTTGCCGGTTCAACTCCCACATGGATGGTGCTGTGCCCGCCCACAACTAAGATTGAACACGGCACCTTGAACTGAGCAGCAGCGAGCTGCCGACGGTTGGCCTGATGGTGACTGGACTTGGAGCTGAACTAGCTGCGCCCTCCACAACTAAGATTCAAGGACAACAACTTGGCTGTCCCCATTCCCCAATAAAAAATCTTAAAAAAAAAGAAAGAAAAGAAACTAAGAGCCCAGCCCTCGGAGACCTTACAGTTCTGTCAGACTCGGCGCTCTGATATCTCCTTCCAGGGGGTCTCAGCACCTCATAGCAAAACAGATCCTTCTGAAGTACTTGAAGGATTCTGTCGGTCTTGTAGGGTTTTTTAAGTTTGCTTTGGTTTTATAATGTATAGGAGTTATAAATATCAACTCATAGGAAAGCATATCTATCTAGTTTTATGTTACTAAAATTTAGATTAAAATCCATTTAAGTCAGCACTGTTGCTTTTTTTTCTTAAAAGGGCTCCACGTCGTACTTTAAAAACCTCTACTATAACAAGCCAGAGCCTCCAATTTAAAAAGGCCCTGATGCCTTGAAACGTGCGGTCAGGAAGCCCTGTATGAGGAGTAAGGTACTCCCAGGAGATGCCGCCCTGGTCACACCGGGATTTAGATGGTTCCATGGTAACAGGATGAGGCTTCCGGGAATCTGCTAGGAGCCTTGCGGAAGAGAACTGGAGGAGCATCTGTAGAGTCAAATGCATCCCTTTTGCTCCTCCCCAGAAAAGCAGAGAGGGGCAATGGTTCAGCTGTCCTAGGAGTCAGGAGATCTGGCCACTTGACTCTGGCTCTGTCGTTAAGTTATATAACTAACCATGGACAAATCATTTAACCTCGCTGTTACAGGCTGAACTGTGTCCCCCCCAAAATCCGTATGTTGAAGTCTTAACCACCAGCACTGTGGAATGTCACTGTATTTGGAGATGGGGCCTTTAGAGAGGTAAGGTACAGTGAGGTCACATGGGTGGGCCTCATCCAACAGGACTGCTGCCCTTATGAGACTGGGGTACAGACAGACAGAGGAAGACCACGTGAGGACACAGGGAGAAGACGGCCAAAAAGACCAGACCTCAGAAGAAACCAACCCTGCCACACCTTGATCTCAGGTTTCCAGCCTCCAGAGCTGAGAGAAAATAAATGTCTACTGTTGAAGCCCCTGGGCTGTGGTACTTTGTTGCTGGCAGTCCTGAGTCTCTTTAGACGAGTAATGGTGCTATCACAACCTACCTCTCAGGGTAGCTAGTGGGTCAAATTAGATAAGGTCAGAGTACTTACTATACAGAGTATTCATTCCATGGGGCTCAAACTGGATAAAGAGTTGATAACATCCCGTAACTCCATTCAAGCTTTGAAATCTTGATTGCACCTTATGAAACTCACTAGAGAATCCAGATGAGCCCAGCTCTGCCTAGACTAATCCAGGAGACTATTAGATAAACAAAAGTGTTGTTTTAAGCTGCTAAATTTTGGGTAACTTGTTAGAGCACCAAGAGGAAACTAATATATTACCAACCTATTAAAACATAAGCACAATCACTTCATAGAAGGTCATGTTACAACGAAGCAAGAGGACACACAAACTCATACACTGAAATCACATGGCAAAAAGGATAAGTCATATCATATTGAGGAAAGAATCCATACGCCATAGAATGTTTAGGTTAACTATCTTTAGATTTATTACCAGAATAAGAACACAAAAACTTAAAATTCTTGGAGAGAACTTTCAGCTCTCCAAGTTATATTTCTACTATACATTTTCATACCATCTGATAATTACTGACCTGAGAGATCCACTGAAAAGTTTCAGAGACCTGAACTAACAAAATGGGTGTGAAAAATTTATATAGTGGGTATCCACCTATTTTCTAAAGTCCCATTACTTCATTAGGTTCTCACAGATATCTTGGATAAGGAGCATTGCTTTCTAGCATTTTTTGCTTTCACAGCTTTTCTGCACATGGTACTGTGCCCTGCTGCAGGGGATAAGGTCACTGTTGGGGCAGCTGGCTGGGCCGCTCCTGGTTTTCAATCACCTTTTCTAATATGACCCTTTGTTAATGCAGACATGACCCACGCATTAGAAATCACAAAGTGGTGTTAACAGCATCATATCCAGGATTCCACAACCTACCTCTAGTAACATCTTCACATCCCAAGCATCCTTTTCTTCATTTGGATAACTTTTTGCCATATTGTAGTGCTTTTCACCAGGTTTTACCTCTTGTGGAGACTTAAGAATGCGAATCTATACTTAAAGAGATAATATACTCAGAACACTTCAGAAAAATTCACAAACTCTGAATACTGTATTGTTTTAGATTTTTTTTAAAAAAGTGTGATTCTAGAAAAAATGTTTAGAACCAAAATTCCATAAAATTCTTCAGCTCTAAATATTCAATGCTTAAAAACAAAGTGAAAAGCATATGATATGGAAAACATATGTCAATGATTTATAAATTTATAAATGTACTCCCAAATTTTCATTTCCTCTATATTTAATTAGAAAAAATGAGGACTTGGGTTCCATGAGCCTAAAACATTTATTTCAACTATAATCAATGACATAGAGATACAGAATAAGATGCACATCACTGTGTACCACAGGAATAAAAGATTATAAAGAACAGGGGCTTTTCCTTGCTCGTATAGTGCAAATACATATTAATCCTGCTTAAAAAAAAAAAGAAACAAAGGCTTTTCTCCAAAGATGAACTATATCAACTGGCGAGTTTGAGGAAAGGAGCAAAGCCGCACTCAGCCCAGCTGTTTCTGGCATCTGTTCTGGCTCTGCCTGCCTGCCTGCAGAGGGTATATTCTGATCCACTCTGCTCACTGTGCTGGGCTTTGCAGCTTTGGTGGTGCGTGGTCAAAGTCAGTTCTGGGATAAAATAGGGGGAAGCCCACAGTGACTGCACAGCCAAACCACATCTTCCAATCCATCTGCTACCATTACAGCTGATATTTTTATCTCCTATATCACACCTATTTTTTGAAGTGGTTCTAAGTTCTAAAGCAAAAAGGAGCTTCATTTATTGGTCCCCTAAATCTCAAACATGTTGCAGCTATTTTAAACAAGTAAGGCAGTTTTATATGTATCATAATGGAATAGTCACCAGCATATTCATGAAATGAAAAAGCAAGGTCCAAAAGAGTACAGCATACCACCAATGTGTCAAATATACATACATACATACACACATGCTATACATGCATAATTATCTCTAGAAAGATACACATGAAACTAATGACATGGATGTCTCTGGGAAAAAAACGATTTGACAACGGGCAGAGATTGAGGAGACTTACTTTTCACTGGCTTTTGTACCATGTGTATCTATTACCTATTTAAATAATAACTTAAAAAAAGAAAATGCAAAACAGTAAAAGAATGGAAAAGGGAAAAATAATTCTTAGTTTTATGCAAGTGCTATAAAAGTTTAACATTTATAAGTTCGATGCATGATTTCATGTTTTTTAATCTTGAAATTCTATCTACAGAATCTAAAAGAATATGGTTAATTTAGTACAGAGCGCCTAGAAAAAAATCAAAACAATAACTTCCATATCAAAATGTCTGTCCAAAGCAATACCCAATTTCAGAACAATCATTTTAATTAGTCTTATCAATTTGGAACTATTTTTACTATGAGATATAATTAAGATGACATTAATATATGATTGGACATACTCTATTAATAGATTGTAAGAAATCAGGAGATTTGGGGGGAAAAAAGATCTAATGGTTCTATATGTATAAATGCCTTGCAAAGTACACAGTATTTCTGAGTAACTTTTCTAAGGATTCAATAGCACATGCTAGGATTCTAACTAAAGACAAAGTATAATCAAAGAAAAAGAAAGGAATGCAGGTAATAAAAAGGCCATGAATTCAGAGAAAGGAGAGGTCACAACAGCATAAAAAGGCTTTCTACCAACAACAACTCTAAGGACAGAAAACTTCATAATCTATTTATTTATGATTAAAGTTGAAGATAAGTTTGGGGGTTTGAATGTAAGTGACAAATATTTACATCACATAACTCAGCTGAATAATCTAAGCCACATCCATTGATAAATACCTGCTCTATCTGTATTCCATAACCTTTAAAACCTGCATTGTCCCACGAAGTGTTCCGGTAGATGTCATCAACTCTGTCAATCAGCTCTATCTGTGTGTATAAAAGAGAGAGTGAGAGAAAGACATTATGTGTATCTTCACTACTCTGCAATGTTACAAGTTCTGCAGGGGTTTAAAAAAAAATCAGTTTAGAAAAAAGGCCATGGTAAAAGTTTCTACCAATTACAAAAACTAACTTTAAGATGTTATTCTTTATCACTGACAGTGCTAACAAATGATTCCTAGCCCCAAAGTGTTGTTACTAGAATCAAACAGTGGAACAGTTTAACGCAAATCCAAGTAATCAACTGTATATGGAACCAAAATACCCAGTAACAGGCTTTCTAAAAACTGCCATTGTAGTCAACTATGAAAGTGCAAGTTAATAATCAATTAACCTAAAATAACCTCTTCTAAAAAGTATTCTGTCTTTGCGCTCTCTTGACAAGTTCCTCCAACACCTTCCCCAGAAAGAGGTAAGGAGCAGTGCCAGACACTGCTGACTGTTCCTGGCCCCTCACTGGACGAAGGTCAGCACTGAGGACCAGGTAAAAGGAGAGCCAGAGAAATGAGGTTTCGATTCCTTCTTTCTTCTGTGCTCTGATTTGGAAAGAGGGAAAGGTGGGCAGAGGGACAGTACAACAGCAAAGGACGGCTCACGGCACATAACAAAATGCTCATTACCTATCATCTCAAAGAGAATAGTTTATTGCTCAAAACTGGGAAGATGAGGGCCGGCCGAGTGCCACATTGGTTAAGAGCTGGCTTGGGACGCCAGCTCTGAGCAGCAGGGCCCTGGTTCGGATCCCACATGAGGGCTAGTGATGCTGCGCCCTCTACAGCTAAGATGGTGAACAACAGCTCAACCTGAAACTGGGCTGCTGGGAGTCACTGGTGACGGCGTAGGCTGCAGCTCCTGCTGCAGTGGACTGTCATGAGCTACTGTGAGTGGCCAGCAGCCAGCATGAGTGGCCGGCAGCTGGCGTGAGCTGCCGTGAGTGGCTGTCCAATGACCGTCGAGCGACTGCATCACCCGGGAAGAGCACGATGATAATACCAACATGGGCCAGTGAACCAACGTCCTCCACAACTAGACTGAAGAACAAAAGGACAGCAACTTGTCTGTTCCCCTTCTCCAATTCCTCAATAAAATCTTTAAAAAAAAAAAAAACTGGGAAGATGAGGTATGTTCGGGCAAATGGGAAGTACATTATAGGTCTAGGGAACTTCTTTGCCGATAGTAACTGCAGGACTAAGAAATGCAATTTTTAAGACTAAACCTCTCATTATATTCATATTCTTGGTGTAAGGAACAAAGAAATAAATTAAGAGGAGCTCCTAATACAAGGCCCATATTAAGAAACTTCTTCAAGCAAGAAAGGCTCTCTCTTACTAAGAAACGAGAATTACAATGACTTCACACACTACTTCTAACCTCATAATGAATTCTTTCACTCACATGGAAGAGAAGGGAAAGAAGGGTGAGGGAGGGCACCAGTAAACACAGAGAATGGGAAAAGCAAGGCAAAGAGAAAGAAGTCTTAACTGCACTGGGCTCTAGGTTCGTGAATAGCTGCATTCTCTTTTTTTTCCTAAACAGTATTTTGGTCAGTGCCAACTTATCATGACAAATGAAGTCATACCAACAAAAAATGGCAGCGCAATATGACGCCCCTGACTTTTAAAATTACAACAGTAAAAGCTTAAAAATCCAGTGTCAGTACTTCAGTAATCTTTCCTTCACATCTCTGTCTGAAAGTTAGTTATGACCATGAAAGTCCCATCTATTTCACACAGTTATAGTCCAATAATTAGTTATTTTATATGATATAAACCAAACTGACCATCTTCTCTGAAATTTACATGTAAGCAAAAATAATATACAGGTTCAAATACTTTTTTTTTCCTCACTCTAGAGCATTCACCCATGCTCTAGAGTCCAGTATAGATCCCTGCCACTATTGCAGCAATGTTTTCAAAGAATTCACTTGTATAAAGAAGGGAGGCCTATGTTATGAACGCTCCCTAAACCTAAAAGGCATAAAAATTCTAATGTGCAGGAAATAATAGTTCAAAGGTAAAATGTGTTTTCAAAAATTTGAAACTAGAATCGCTATGCAGTAATGTAAGAACCTCAGGGGATAACCCTCAAATACTTTACGAAATAATATAGCATCTGAAACAGATCTGGTTTCATTACGTTTCAAATTACAGCAGTCTTCTCTCAAATGGAATTTGTCTACCTACATGATTATTTTGTCCAATTAGCTCATCCAATATCAAATACTTACTAAGTAATTGGTAGTGGTACTCTCTTCCCCTCTGCCCATGTATTTGTAAAAGCGATGATCTGCTACCACCAATAATTTACACGTGTTCTTCATGGGATTAGGGTCAGCTCTTCTCTTCACCCGATGAACAAGCTCTAATATGAATTTGTATGCACTATTAAATCAAAATTCATCAAAACAAGGAGTTTTTTATAGTAACACTTATAAATCTAGAAAATTTATGAAACAAATATTATTTGAGTTTAGTATCCTTAAAGGTATCTTGAACAAAAAAAAAAATCAATTTGGAGGAAGACAGAAAAGGGAAAAGTAATATGAGGTTTTAAAATTATACAATGCAAAACCAAGGAAAAGTCCCTCAATTTTTAAAATGAGAAAACTTTACAAAGTACTTAAGAGTAAAATAATCACCTATTCGTTGCTGGCCTATGAGGCTGTCATTTTATTCTAGATGAAGTCCATGAATTAACCAAAGTTAAGGGTAAAAGTATAAAGATAATCAAACATTAAAAGTGAGTTGGTGCTAATAGGTCATTTTTCTTAAATAATCAAATTTTTAAGTATTTCTTTATATACTAAAATGCTACTAATATTTTCTAAGGTTTTCAAAAATGAACACAGTACAATATTTCTCCAAGATGGCTGTTTATATATGATTCTAAATTGATCTGTCCCAACACTGATAACCTTCTTTCTAAACAGCATAGAACTCTCTTGCTACCAACTATTTCTTATAAACTTATCTAAAGATTGTTTTTCAAAAGTATTATTTTTGTCATTTTTAAATACCAGCAAATCAAAAATATTTTCCCTCAGATTATTCAATTCCCCTTTCCCCAATCTTATTTTCAGTCCTATCTTTATTGTTACCATTACGTTCCAGTTTTCATTATTTTTTTTTGAAATTACATTATTTTATTAGTTTCAGGTGTACAAAACAATGTGATAGACATTTACACCCCTCACAAAGCAATGACCCCACTTAGTGTTTTAATTTCTTATATTATAGACAGAAGAATTAACTTAAGAATTTCTTAACAAAACTCTATTTTTAAGCCAAACACTATAGTTACTTGATAATCACATTATTTTTTCATCCATTAACAACCACCCCTATTGAAGACAGATGTAATGCTTGTTTCTCATGAACATTTTTTAAGTCTTACCATCAGGGGGCTCGCTGTCTTCTAGCCCATATGGAAGCAAATCTTCGTTATTGGCCTTAATATAACCACACACTTTTGGAGACTGCAAACGTGAAACATTCTTGATATCTTCAGATTTATAAACTAACATTCTTCTGTCTTTAGTATCATTAATTAGTCTCCAAAGTGGCTAAAATAGAAAACATACATAATTTAGATGGAAAATACAAGAATTCCTAAACATTGTTTTTAGATTAACATTCATTTCCAGGTTAAGTACAGTGACTAGTCATTTTATTGAAATAAATCATTTCAATCTTTATCATAGAGTTTCTATGCTGATAAACACATGGATTATTTACTATTTGATTTTACCTGCATATGAAGAAAAACATTATTTTGCACAAGTTAGAAGATCCAGAAGAGAAATTACATATCCTTTTCCATTCATTGATTCAAAAATATTTACATTAACACCTATTGTATGCTGGCACTGTTCTTAGCTGATGAACATACAGCAATGAAAGTTAGACAAGGTTTCTGTTCTTGTGCATTTTCATTCCGCTTTCCTTAACATCTTTTTGTGTACAGAAAAGAACAAACACATTTTCATGAGAGAAGACTGAAAACTTTTAACAATACGCCTAAACTTATTAGTTTCATGGAAAGCAGTTTTTTAAAAAATCTTCACTTACAATATTGCAAAGCCACAGTAAATCTGAACTAACATACACGGAAGGTTAATACCCAAGTAAAAAGGAAGTTTCTGTTATTTCAAAAACAAGTTTTTCTCTGTGAGGACACCAGTCTCAGAACCGAACAGTTTGTGAGAAATGTACAAGAAAAGATATGAAATGTATTTATATCTCTATCTCCATCATGGAAATGAAAATCAAAACCACAAGATGCTACTTCTCTTCATACCCACTAGGATGGCTGTAATAAAAAATACAGATAACAAGTACTGGCGAGGATGTGGAGAAATTAGAACCTTCATGTACTGCTGCTGGTGAGAATGTAATATGGAATATAAAATGCAGTACATCTAAAATGGTGAGATGTAAAGTGCAGCCACTATGGGAAACAGTCTGGCAGTTCCTCAAGAGGTTAAAAAAAGTTACCATATGACCCAGCAATTCCACATCTACTATATACCCAAGAGAAATAAAAATATATGCTCACATAAAAACTTGTTCACAAACAAATCTAAAAAGACAGATTAGTGGTTACCTAGGGTGGGGGTGGAGGGTGGGGTGGGCTGCTAAAGGGTCTGGGGTTTCTTTGGAGGTGATGAAAATGTTCTAAAATTGATCATGGTGATGACTGCATGATTATGAACCTACGAAAACTCACTGAATTATATACTTGCAAAGGGTGAACTATACAGTGTGTGAATTGTATCTCAATAAAGCTGTTAAGTGTGTGAGTGAGTGTGAGAGTGTGTGTGTGTGTGTGTGTGTGTGAGTGTGTGTGTGTGTGTATCTTCTTTCATAATCCACGTATGAGGCAGATTTAAGAAACAACGGTTACAGAACCTCAGGGCTAACAGAGACCTCAAAAAGTTAACTACTGGGTTGTCAGAAAAGTCATGACACATTTTTGCAACGAAAAACATAGAAAAAATACCTCATGATTTTTCCGACAACCCAGTAACTCCTCGGCTGCAGAAACCTTCATCTGGCCCACAAGCAGGAAAGCAGGAAATTTTTCTTTTGGATCACAATAATAGCTTCCTAATATAGCCCACTTAGCACAGAGAGAGAGAGCAAGCTTTAGGATTAGACACCTGAGTTCAAACCTCAACTGTACTCCATCATGTGCCTTGGACAAGTAACTTGTCTAAGCATCACTTTTCTCATTGGATAAAGTAGTAATAATGTCTATCTTGAAGATAATGGATCCAGTTATCTATTTGTAAAATAATGAATACAGTTATACATTAAGATTTCAAACTAAAGGTGGTTACTATTACTACTAATAAAAGCAATCCTATTATCATACTAGTAAGTTGCCAGAAAAAAAAAAAATCTGATGAATAACTAAATAGGAAGCAAGAACCTCAGCTAGACCCTAAATTAGAAAACCAAAAAAAATCTATGAAGGAGATTTTGAGGATAGCTGGAGATTTTTTTGATGATGCACTGATTATCAGCACTCAAATATACTTGAAACTTTCACTTTACCCAACCTTATTCCAGTTTTCCCACAACTGTTTTATTTTGGTGATATCACCACTACCCAGAGTATTCTCATTTTCCTAGAAACAAATCACTCTGATCCACAAATTTGTGGCAAGTTGTGTTTTCCAGACTAGTAGCCAATACATGGCTATGTCTCGCACAAATGTGGCTGGTACATTACGGTCTTGGTTTCTACTGATAGTACTTTCATGAAAGAGTGGCCAGGGCCTGAGTTGCCTATAGTTTCCTCTTTTAACCTCTCAGACTATAAACTACCATCGTTTATGGATCTTGCATTTCCAGAGCATCTAGGAGAGAAAAGGAGAAATAAGACCTTGCCTTCACCCTTATGAATGTTTACACTCACAGTAGGATTATTAAAGAAATAAGGAAAAAATGAGTCAGGAGGAAAAGAAAGTTTTCTCTTCCTATTATCCACCCCACATGTGACTTTTTCTCAACTATGGTACTTAGACACACAGGGTGGACCTTATGACAGCTTCTTAGCTATTTATAAAAAATGTCTCCTTTAAAAAAAACAACTATCGACTTTCCTGGTTAAAAAAGAAACTTTAACTACAAAGAGAAAAGAGATGTAATTACAGACTTTTGTCTTCTTAAAACAACTGAGAAATAGCTTTTAAAAAATCAGAGATGTATCAGTAAAATAAGTCAAACAGAAAAGAACAAGAACCATATGATTTCACTCATATGTGTAATCTAAAACAAAAACAACAAATGAACAAATAAAACAGAAACCTAACTCATATATAGACAACAGAATGGTGGTTACCAGAGGAGATAGGGGATGGGGGGAGGACAAAGAAGGTAAAGGAGGTCAAACACATGGTGACACAGAAAAGTAGACTTCCGGTGGTGAGCACACAATTGGCATACAGATGCCATTCATATTACAACGCTGGACACCTGAAATTTGTTATTAACCAATGTTACCCCAATAAATTTAAAATAGAAATTTTAAAAATAATCAGATATATGTTCCTAAGAAAAAAATTCACATGTAGATTTACCTCTATATTATATTCTGCCCCATCTGTGTTGATCCTTATTGTAATATCATCATCTCCTATGTGGGCTAAAACCCTAGAGTCAGGCTCACCTGAAGAGAAAAAAATTTTTTCATTATTAAAAAATATTTATATCAAAAAATAAACTCTGCATTACTGTCATTAAAAATCAACCAAGCACTTCATCGGAGTGAATCTGCCTAGAGACCATAGAAATCTACCACCATGGAACACAGGCCCCAGGAAGCAGCTGGATGTTCTCACTCCTAAGATGTAGCGTCAACTCCAGTCATTTGAAACCTCTCTCTTTCCCTCGAGCCTGTTATAAGAATGATCTATAGTGTTATACAATAAAGCAAACAAACACACAGATTTCCTTCTGGAATAACTTTACCTACTTTTGGGAAAGAAAGAACTAAGAGGAGGCAGAAAGCATGATTTGGAATATACACGTCCTCAACTATACTATTTGAGGATTTTAATGCCCTTTTTTTCTTATTGCAGAAAAAGTTCCGGAAGTAAACCATAATTGCTTGATATATTTTCTTAAATAAATACATAACAGGATCATAAAGTCAATTATTTTTTCTCCTAGCTTCCCTGTTTAAAATCTCATAAGGGAAGCCTGCATTCCTTCTCTGGACACAAGGGGTTAAATGCTCATCACTTGAGAGGAAATTCATTGTAATCATCAAAATAGCCAGCTAGTAGGACATGCTGGATAATACCCATATGCTTCTGTTTGAATGTTTCTGCTTCCAAACTTAGCTCAAGTAAAACAAAGAATAGCAGCTCTTTGGTGCCCCTTCTTCCTCTCCCCCAAAAAGAATACATCATCAAGTTAGATCCGGACACCTAACACCCCCCAGACACAAAGGCAAACAAGCAAGCTCCATACTCACCAACCACATGTCCACTGAAGAAGTCCTGCCACTTGACGCTGTACTCGTTTTCATCTTTACCATCTACCACCACGACTTTGAAATTCTGGGAAAAGCGTTCAGTACTTGATGTCAGGTATAATTTAAAATGCCTAAAGAAAGAAAGCATCCATATTTTACTCTAAGCACATAAAATAGAAGACTAATTTTCATTCACGTAAACTCTCTTTAAAATCTTCTTTGACAGAAGAGTTGACATTAATAAACACTATGCAAGTTTTAACCACTGCTTTACTTGGTACTTAGAGCATTATATTTCCTGTAGACAAAGACAAAGAGACTAATTTCTTTAGTGGTAAGAATATGGCAGACCAAAAGAAACTAGAAGTGGGGGAAAAAGATTCAAAGAGCTTAGGCATTCCTCTTTTCTGGAGACTGAAGAAACACACACATCTGGATAGCATAAGTCAGAGGCCTGCTTGTCTTAAAAACATATTAAAGACTGGTATTATTACATACCATTTATTGAATACCTACTCAGTGCTAGATGTTCTGTATATGTTATCTCCACACAATAAAAATTGAGGCTTGACAATTAATCAACATACTCAAAGTTACACAGCTCGTAAATGGTGAAACTGAAAATTGAACTTGGTTTATTTCAGAAGGCTGCTGAAATAAACTAGACTGTCTCTAGCTATCAAGCTGGACTTAGTGCTGTGCAAAATTGATAAATGCTACTTTCTTTGTTTAAAAGGGTTCATATTTTTTTCCTTCTACAGAGAACCCATCTTGAAAAAAAATAATCCACAATACCATGAGGAAAACAACTACACGGCAAATACAACACAGACATTAAAATATCCACTGTTGCTTAATCTTCTTTTGTTTTCTATGAGTTTCAGTCCTCACATAGAAACTGGGCATGGTGAGCAAGAATTTTTCAATTATTATTTACAAAGTCCTTTCAATGTGCCTATGACCACCAAAGATAAAGAAAGGTATGTTTTTTCATCTCAGCCACAGGAACAAATTTTGTCAGCTGTGGTGTTGAAAATACGAAATATTACTTCCCCATGGGTTTGCATAGGTCTAACTGCCAGAAAGAATCTAGACTGTCTCCATGGTAACAAATATTTTTAACTTTTTGAGCATAACAAGGTAATTTTAGCTTGCTTGTGGTTTCTTAATGGTCACAGGGAAAGAGACAATAGAACATTATTTCAAAAAACCTTGGAACATTTTCGCCTGCTATCCCAAAACACATCTTCCCACACATTCACAGTTATAATTTTTTTCTTCCATCAGTTATGCTCAGAACTTTTAAAAGAAAAGCATCCCTATTATAAATGCCTTATTATTCAGTTTTAGAGCTCTCTAGGAGTCTCAATATTACTTTTACTTAATGTTCTTTCCAGAAAAATCACTGGAATTGTACTCTTCATTTTCTACACTAATTATCTGCTCTGTTGTAAAGTAAGGACCAAGTGATGGTGAAGTTCCTGTTTGTTGAGTTTCCAATCTTCAACTCTGAACTATAAAACCTCCAATACAATATGTCAGCCAGAACTTATATTTTATTCTATCCTTCCAAAATCATGTCAAGTCATGTACTTACAGACTTCTTTTAGCATTTTCATTTATCTTTCTGACTTTTGGTTTAAAGAGTTACAGTAACTACAAACTGGTATTAATCCACCTGAATTAACATTATCTTGATTATCTTTTTTTTTGTATATACCACAAAATGATCATCACAATAAATCTAGTTAACACCTGTCGTCCTACATGTCATCATACAGTTACAGTTTTTTTTCTTGTAATGAGAACTTTTAGGGTCTACTCTCTTAGCAACTTTCAAATATACACTACAATATTACTAACTATAGTCATCATGCTGTACATTATATCCCCAGGACTTATTTCATAACTTCAAGTTTGTACCTCGTATCTATTTTAATGGTCCATTTAGCTGGGTATACATCACTTTCATTTCTTTATCAGTTCTAGCCCTCTTCAAATAATTTGAGATATTTCACTTACATGAGGAACAAATACCTAACTTTTTTTAAAAACTAACATTATCAAAGGTATCAAAACAATATTTGTAACCTTTTCATTACTTTAGAATAATAGTATTTCTTGATTTATTTAAAAGAGAGAGAGAGAGAGAGAGAGAGAGAGAGACAAATGTAACTTGTGGGCAAATTTCAGCTTTCTTTTTTTTTCAATAAAACTACTTTTTAACTCATCATACAATCTCTTGGTATTTCCATGCTTTTTCAACCACTAACAGTCACATCCAAATTTCATTTAATGATCTTAGTTTAAATTACTTTGCCCTCCACTACTACCTAAAGACAGAAAAGCTAATCATTTACCATCACCATCAGGTAATGAATGGTTTCACCAAGTCCCCCTTGCCCCAACATTTTTCTTGGAGTAATTCAAATTACCTTTGCAACGCTGAAAACGTTAGTAGGGTTTCCAAATGTGTTGAGGCCTGAAGATCCCTTTTTCTTACCGAGTGCTGTTGGATGTTGGATAAAGAGAGGATATCGTAGTCTGAGAGCAAGGAATCAAGTTTTTCTGAAATAAAGGTTAAAAGGTTATTAACACCTAAACCCAGTGATCAATTGTAATATTACTAAAATGAGAGTCAGACAACAAACTCTTCCTAATGTAGCACGTTCTGAAGTGCCCAGGTACAATACAACCTATGAAGTGTTCTTACCAAAACACAAAAAATACACTGAACCTGAATCTAATCAAGATCTAACTTCTAGTTTTTAAGACATAAATGTCAAATGTCGCCAAATTAAATAATAACCTTAGGAAGCAATCAGCCACACCCAGAATGTCAGAATTCGTGCACAACAAATGACTCAATTTCTTCAGGAAATAAATGGCATGAGAAAGAAGGGAGGGGTGGAGACAAAACAGACAAGGATATAGAAAGAAAGGCAATGTGTGAACCTTTTAAAATCCCAGGTCAAACCAACCAATTGTGGAAAGATGCTTGTGACCATTAGGGAAATTCGAACATGAGTCCATGTTCATATTACCGATAATTTTGATATCTCAAAGAATATCATATAATGCAGGAGCTAACTTGTAAATTAAAGGCATTTCTGGCTTGTATGCTTAGAATGCCTAAGATCAAGGTCGCGACTTGCCCATTACCAAGCTGGGCAACATCAATTCCTTATCAGCTGATGTGTAGTAAGAAAGAACAACAAATGTAGGAGTGGCCTGAGCAAGCCAAAACTGGGAAAGTAAATACTTTATAGAAAAATCACATATGCCAAATTAAAGAGCAAAAAAGTGGTAATATCCCTATTACTGCTGCCCTCAACAGGGTAGAACATCAACCCATTGGACACTAGGAAGTAGAAGCGATAAGACCAAACTGATTCCTGGAAAAAATCAACATTAATTACTTTACCAGACTGACTTAAAACCCAAGAAAAGCCAAGATGCACTGCCCCAAAGACAGAACAAGCACAAAAAGGGTTTATTTGGTATAGAGCAAGAACACACACTATGAAGTACATGCTACCCCTATAAGTCACTTTTCATCAACGACAACTCTACTGCCTCTTCCAAAATCAAGAGAATTTTTGGAATAGAATTTTGGTGACTGAAGTCTCTGTAGAAACTGTCTAAAAATATCTGAGCTGATACTTTCCTCTTTTCTCAACAAATATCACTGCAGAAGCAATGGTATTTAAAATCATTCCACTGGATTTAGAATGTCCTCAAAATATAGCAGCAGGAGCTTAAAATACAACTGTACTGCTTCAGAGGTTAAGTGTGCTCACAAAACCATGTTTAAAAGAAAGAATCGGGGCCGGCCGAGTGGCGCGATGGTTGGGAACTCGCTTGGGATGCCAGAGGGCCCCGGTTCGGATCCCACATATGAGGGCCAGTGACGCTGCCCTCCACAGCTAGGATGCTGAACGGCAGCTCGACCTGGAGCTGGGCTGCCATGAGTCGCCGGAGACGGCGTGGGCTGCAGTCCCTGTGGCAGTGGATTGCCATGGGCTACCGTGTGTGGCCAGCAGCCAGCGTGAGCGGCCAGCAGCCGCAGTGAGCGGCCGTCCAGAGCCGGCGACTGATCTGCCTCGCCAGAGAAGAGCGCAATGATGGTGCCAACTTGGGCCAGTGAAGCAACGTCCTCCACAACTGGATTGAGGAGCAAAACGACGGCAGCTTGTCTGTTCCCCTTTCCCCAATTCCCCAGCGCTGTTCCCATCCCCCCAATTCCCCAATAAAAATCTTTAAAAAAAAATAAATAAAATAAAAGAAAGAATCGACCCAATACTCTTCTCCTTCCCTAAATTTCCTTAACTACGTAGTTCCTTCATCAATTCACTCATTCACTGCTATGTGCCAGGCTCTGATCTCAGTACAGAGACAGATAGTCAATAGGACAAAGTCATTTTATTTTATTTTTATTTATTTATTTTTTTAAAGATTGTATTGGGGAACTGGGGGAGGAGATCAGCATTGGGGAATCGGGGAAGGGGAACAGACAAGTTGCCGTTCTTTTGTTCTTCAGTCTAGTTGTGGAGGTTGTCGCTTCACTAGCCCATGTTGGTATTATCATTGCGCTCTTCCCGGGTGAGGCAGATCGGTCGCCAGTCACTGGACGGCTGCTCACGGCAGCTCTTGGCAGCTCACACCAGCTGTCAGCCACTCACGGGAGCTTACGGGAGCCCACTGAAGCTCCACTGCAGCCTACGCCGTCACCGGCGACTCACGGCAGCCCAGCTCCAGGTCGAGCTGTTGTTCACCATCTTAGCTGTAGAGGGCGCAGTGTCACTGGCCCTCATGTGGGATCCGAGCCCGGGCCCTGCTGCTCAGAGCTGGCGTCCCAAGCCAACTCTTAACCAACACACCACTCAGCCAGCCCAGACAAAGCCATTTTAGTGTGAAAGAGATAATCAATGCACAAGAAAATGCATGTCCTCAGGGCTGTGGACATTAAAGCAGGATAGCAGAGAAAGGCACCAGGAAGGGCCAGTTTATAAAGAGTGGTCAAAGGAGGAAAAATGCCTCACTATGCAAATCTGAAGACAGCAAGGGGTAAATTTAATCAAAGTCCACTCAAGGGTCTAATTCAGGATAAGATTAAACAAGTGGCCGCAAATTTCACACTTGCTGGGCACCACCCATTTTCTGTTAAATTTTCCTTTTAAATTTAGTCCAGAAGATAGCTGTTTCAGAAGGCATGAATCACTTTTATGCCCCTGAATAGTTTGTGGTGATCTGGCTTTGTTAATTGCAATGCTTAGCAGTACCAATGAAAAACTTTCAAAAAGTTTACCATTTACCCAACAACTTTTCAATGTTTGTTTGATACAAGACTGGGTGTTTTTTATGTAATCTCCACAACACCCCTGGGGTATTACCCCCATTTTACAGATGAGGGAACAGACTTAGGGAGAAGACTATCACAAAGCTAATGTAGCACAGAACTGGGATTTGCATTTGGGCCTGCCTGGGAGAAAACCCTAAGCTTTATTGATGTCACACTTTTGAAACTCCTTAAGAACAGCCTAGCTCTTCCTGGACCTTCTGCTCCTTGGCCTCCTACTTTTTGACATGTCAACCAAACATGACCTCGCCTCCCTCTGCTTCTGAAGCCCTTTGCTTGTACCTTTCTCCTGGCACTTTTGAGTTATATTTGTTTTATCTCACAAATTTACAGACTGTAAAATGGCCAAAAGGGATTTGTTTTATTCATCACAATATCCTAACCTCACAATACCCAGCACAGAACCTTGCACAAAGCAGCACTCCTATGTTCACAAATGGCGCGAATTCTCAATGCCGAGGTGCTGATACAACCCTTCCCTCTTCCACTTCCTGAAACAGGTTAGTACATGAACTCAGTTTCGATCAAGATCATAATCACTCCTTCTGACTGAGAACCAACTTCAATACGTAGTTTCATTGTCAATATTATAGACCAGTTGTTCTCAAAGTGCTCCCTACACCAGCAGCATCAACTGAGAACTTACTAGAAAGGCCAATTTTCAGGCCTCTTCTTTTCCTCCTCAATCAGAAATTATTGGGGTGGGGCCCAACAATCTGTGTTTAACATGCCTTCCAGGTGATGTTGATGTACACTCAAGTTTGAGAACCCTTGACCTATGCTAAAGGAAGGAAAATCGCTCAAAGACGAAAACTTATAGACACAAACATAGTGATTGTTCAGCCTTGCATTACTTTTATAAACAAAAATCGGAAACAAAGTGATAACTGGGAAACATAAGTTAGAGCACTTCTAAATGCAAAAAAAGTTGCAATCATTTAAAATTCTGTTCAGTTTTTAAGGACACAGGAAAATACTTATGCTATAAAACTAAATAAACAAAGGTAGATTTTAAACTATTCAACTGCATGATCTTAACTATGAATAAAATCAGGCTTAGAAAAAAAATAATAAGGGCCGGCCGAGTGGCTCAGTTGGTTAAGAGCTCGCTCAAGAGTTTGAGCTCTGAGCAACAGCGGTTCGAGTCCAGCCCGAGCTGAGCAGCCGCTGAGCTGCCAACAGGTAGCAGGATGGCTCAGCTAAAAAAAAGAAAAAAAATAATAATAAGAGATAGTAACATTACTGGTTATCTTTAGGTATATTTTGTCTCTATAACAAGCTTTTTTTTTTTTTAATTTATTGGTCCAGGACCTATCAGCTCCAAGTCAAGTCATTGTTTTCAATCTAGTTGTGAAGGGTGCTGCTCACTGGCTCATGTGGGACTCGAACCAGCAACCTGGTGTTATGAGCACCATGTTCTAACCAATTGAGTCAACCAGCTGCCCACCAGTAGCTCAGCTCCAAGTCAAGCCATGTCTTTCCATCTAGTTGTGGAGGGCACAGCTCACTGGCCTACGTGGGAATCGAACTAGCAACCTTGGTGTTAAGAGCCTGTGCTCTAACCACTTTAGCTAACAGGCTGCCCTTATAACAAGCACTTTTTTTTGTTTTAGATTTTTATTGGGGAATTGGGGAAGGGGAACAGCCAAGTTGTTGTCCTGCAATCTTAGTTGTGGAGGGCACAGATAGCTCACCTCCAAGTCTAGTCGCCATCTGGCTGCCCGACAGCAGCTCGCAACAGCTCAGCTCAAGGTGCCATGTTCAATCTTAGTTGCGGGTGGGCGCAGCCCACCATCCCATGCAAGAGTCCAACCCACAACCTTGTTGTTAGGAGCACGTACTCTAACCAGCTGAGCCATCCTGCCACCTGTTGGCAGCTCAGCGGCAGCTCAGCTCGGGCACAGCTCACTGGCCCATGTGGGAATCCAACTGGCAACCCTGTTGCTCAGAACTCGCGCTCTTAACCAACTGAGCCACTTGGCCGGCCCCAACAAGCACTTTTTAAATGCAGCTTACTAAAGCACTTTAAAATACTTAACTAATATGTTTCAATTATAATTTATCCTCTTTTAATAACTAGATGTCCTGGAGCCATTGCAAACAACATGGTAAAAGCACTCCTCTTGCCCAACAAACCGACCTGATCTTGCTTCTGTCCCTTCAACAACAAGTAACCTCTCAGATACTCAATATTTCCAGCACTTCACTT